CTGCTCGTCGCTGTTCGACACCGGAGCGATCGGACGCGCCTGCGTGGACGCCGTGCGTTGGCGCCAGGACTCACACCCGCCACGTGACGTCACCGACCCAGGGGAGGGGAGCAGTCGGCGGCCAGCTGTCCATCTCATCGGCCGGGATCGTTTATAGAGGACGATCCCCGCCGGCGACCCCGGCACTATTTCCAGGCGGCTGGCCTCGGCCGGCGACGCGGCCGGCGCGCGCGTGCCGTCTCGCGGCCGCTCCCGACACTACGCACGGCGAGGAGGGAACGGCGGCAGGCGGGGATGGACGACGGCTTAGCGAGCTATGGCTGAGATCTCCTTGTTGGCATGCGCTTTTCAAAACCCCTTTTTCCGATTTTCGCCAAAGGTGCGGTGTGGTTGATGACAGTGGATAAAACAGTAATGTCGGCAACTCCCCTGGTCAGGCTTTCACAACTTTTCTGGACTTGTATGGACAAGCAGGCTAATCGCATATACAACACACAGCTAATGCAGTGCGCTTTTTTGAAAACAGCATGGACACGAGGAACCCCGGCTTAAATAATGGTCCAATCACAAGAGCTCAAGCATACTGGTATGGCCAAGGGCTTAAGTTGTGCTCGGTGGAGGCCTTTACGGGTATACTTTCCTTTACCCAAATTCACTTCCCACGGGGTGTATTCATGCCTATCCGCTACCCATTCCTGACCAGTTACACCCACCTGTTACCCATCCTTTTTTATTTTTTGGAGCGTTTTAATTCTGCGTTATGGGCTAGTTAAAGGAATATTTTGCACCCAAACTTACACTTCTGTGTTGATAGTTGCGTGAAATGAATGGAGCAAATAATGACTAAAATAAACGCAAGAAGTATCTTTGAGTGTTATTTCTTGAAGGGCTTGCCCGAGGTTTCATAAACGTTCTGCCCGTACCCGTACCCACACCCAAAATTTCCCTTAAAGTGGTATCCAACCGAGGTCGTTACTTATTTCGTACAGAAGACTTCACCCAACCGTTGAAGTCCCCCAGTGCGCAATATGCGAAGGGTGCACTAGGTAACTTCAATCAATGAGTGCTTTGCGACGGCAAATTAATGCATTTTAGAGGACCCAATCGCAGTGGCTCACCTGCTGGCACATGAGCATAAGAACATTAAAACAAACCGTGCGAAGGCTTCCGGTAGATGTACTTCTGAATGCTGTTTTCCCGTCTCATCTGTTCGTCAGTCGACCTCAGAAGATGCCGCCTCTCGTCTGCGCCACGCAGTACACCGCCGTACCTCGCGCGCCGCGCGCGGACGGTACGGTGCGGTACGGTACCGCCAGCCACCACGTGCTGCTGCGTCCGTCAGCGGTACCGGCCGCGGCTGGCTGCCGGTACCGCGGCCTCCCTCGCTTTTGACCCACAAATGATCGGCCGAAAATATCCGGCCTCCGGCACCGCCCAAACACCGGCCCGGCCCCGTCCCTCGCCGCCGGGGGCCGTGTTTCGGCGGGGCGCACCGGACCACGTCAAGCTTCGCCAGGTGCTCGCAAGAAAATCATGCTGCGTCCGTCCGCTGCGTCCGTCACGATCATGATTTACCGCGATGCATGAACAGCTTCTCAGGACACCGATCAGAGTCCTTGTCAAGCATACTTGTCGCGCGAACACTAACCCTGTCATCCCAGCAGCCCGAATGGTTGGACAATTTTGCTGCAGCCCACGGGTCAAATGTTGCTGACGATTCCCGACTGACGCTCCCAACGGACTACTCCCAACTGACGACTCCCGACTGACGACTTTCAATTGACGATTCCCGACTGACGCTCCCAACTGACTACTTCCAACTGACGACTCCCGACTGACGACTTCCAATTGACGGTTCCCGATTGACGACTCCCAACTGACGACTCCCGACTGACGACTGCCGATTGACGATTCCCGACTGACGCCTCCCAACTGACGGCTCCAGACTGACGACTCCAAACTGACGACTCCTGACTCGCCCCGCAGTCACGGCACGCCCGCCTGTGGTAAATATTCACTTTCATGTGGAGGAAATACGCCGCCTTGGCTGGGATTCGAACCGACATGCCACGGCATCTTGCATCATGTCGGCTGCCTCCCACCCTGGCGTCGGGGTGAACTGAACCCCGTACCCCTGGGTTTCCAGACATGTGTGGTACCACACCTCGTGGTCACCGTGTCTGCCACGGGCCGTATGCGAAGGATGGCGATGTGGCTATCAGTTCACGGTAACAGTTTTCAGGTCAATTGTTGTATCCCGCCGTCGACGATTTAATTATGTCACGTACATGATGTGTGTTAATCTATTGTTTGCTGGAAACCACATGAGCGATTTAAGGCAGTGTTTCGATTGGCTTGGTATCGTTTCGACGGACATAAAGCTCTGCTCGCCTTTGATCGGTGTAAGATGAATTAAACATCGTCTGATTCCGAATACTGGCGCAATGATTCGTTTTAAAGCAATATTTCTAATTTGGAGGAATACCTGAATTCAAAACTGTTATATCGACGCTCTCCTTAACTCTCCAAACTACAAATGTCATTTTGTCTGGTCGTTCCAGCTCTTCTGGGGATAGCTAGGACAACAGGTCAGGCCGCTGGCCGTCACTGAAAGAATGTCCGGCGACATTTTTTCTTCATCCAAGGCATTTCGACGTGTGTTCATTGTTGCGTTATTCAAGCTATTCTGTGGAAGCCTCCGAACCGAACGGATAGTTGGATGTTTTCAGAGTCGGATTAAGAGTTCCAAAGCTTCCTGACATTCTATTTTCTCCAGTCTTTTTTTGCGTAGGACGTTCAATGTTACGTTAATTACCCTCTGGTCTATGTGTAAATAGCATGGCTTGTCCCGACATTCGTTCCACGTAATGTCTGATTGGTCTGTGCCATACAGTGACTGATGCAGCTCTAAAATAGCTGCGCTTGGATCTGAAGCACGCAAACCCTGGCTTTAAGGTGGGCTGATGATATGTCACGTGTTGCGATGCTTAACTACGTCGTTCGCACGCTACAACCTATATGACAGCCTAATTTACGGGCGCAGAGCCAACATGTGATCACGGACAGGCGCCTGTTCTCTCCTGTGAGACAATGACCAACCACGAGCCAACTACCCCCGCCTGAGCCTCGCGATAACCGCCGGGCGGCTCATTAAGCGATCTCGCGACGTGCCGACTGCGTGGGCTGAGGCAGCGAGTGCGAGTCGAGATCGCGAACAGCGTGTTGCGCCGTTGAGCTGCGGACGAGGGCCAACCTCGACCGGCGCCGGTGGGCCCGGACCCGGGGCCGCTGACAGACCGACCTCGCCGGCATCGGTGGGCCCGGACTCGGGGCCGCTGACAGACCGACCTCGCCGGCATCGGTGGGCCCGGACTCGGGGCCGCTGACAGACCGACCTCGCCGGCATCGGTGGGTCCGGGCCCGGGGCGGCTCGGAGACCGACCTCGCCGACACCGTTATGTCCGAGATCGGATGGCTCGGAGGCCGACTTCGGCCGGCACCGATGGGCCCCGGACTCGGAGCCTGCCACAGACCGGCCTCACCGGCACCGGTGGGTCCCGGACTCGGAGCCTGCCACAGACCGGCCTCACCGGCACCGGTGGGTCCGGGCCCGGGGCCTCTCGGAGCGGTCCGGGTGGTGGGGCACCGCCGCCGCACCACGAACAACATGGGCCGCGCCGCCCCGCCCGCCTAAGTAAGCACGGCGCCGGGGGCGCGCTGCTTTCATGTGCCGGCCCGGACGCGCCGCCTAATCGGCGCTGATGAATTGTGCCGACAGCATTTGCGAGCACCGTCCGCCGACGATAAGTGGTAAACATCTCGTATTTGGGAAACGCGGTCTGCTGGCAGCCCCTCGAGACGCTCCTGATCAGAGACGCAGGTCGAGGGGTGTTTCCATTCCGCAGGCGATTTCACGAGGCAAATGTGCATTTCGAAGTATTGCAATTGTACATTTGTCACCCGTCGTGCGTATTTTTGCTTTCATGTCCGAAGCGTTGTATTGCAGGGCTACGTGACAATCTAATCTGGAGGACCCGTTCTTTTGATTAAGCATGATCTTGTTTTGTATACAGATGGTCTCTTTTAAGCCAAGGCCGTTGTCCGTTATCTCGTTGTTGGTGCCTCCTGGGAAACGGGCGTATTTTTCGCCAGCGTGTCTTCTGACGCACAGCTCATCGGGCCCAGCCCAGTGAGCTGTCTCACTCCACTGTCGCTGCCACTGCACACTGCGTTTTGGGTTTGAACGTGGTTTGATGCTGGCGTGGTCAGGGAAGACTCGAGTGAGCAGTTCTCATTGAATCGCATTTCCGCAGTGCCAGAAATGGCTATTGCTTTACTGGGTGTTTAGTGGGTGTGGTATATCAGTTTTGAAAGACACGGACGACTTGCAAGTATATGTTTTCTTCTCATGAGCGCCGTGATCAATCGTGTTGGGCAGCACACTATATCCATAATTTCGTCATTTACGCTACCGGTTGTGATTTTTCCGTGGTGTTAATTTCCCTTCAGTGCTTTCCCTAGCAAATTGCCGCCAGGTGTCATTGGTTTCCATGTAGCATACAGACTTCATGTCTGTACTCACTTTTTTCTCATTCTTGGCCTATTTGCCACGCATTGCCACCAGTCTAAATGACCATTTTCACCACTCGCGTTGGGGTCATTGCTCATTCGCCTTGAACTTGGTTTGCTGATGACATCCCCGATCCTCCGTCTCCCGGCCTCCCAGCTCCGCATCTGATGATGACCCCCGCTCCTCCGTCTCCCGGCCTCCCAGCTCCGCATCTGATGTTGACCCCCGGTCCTCCGTCTCCCGGCCTCCCAGCTCCGCATCTGATGATGATCCACGGTCCTCCGTCTCCCGGCCTCCCAGCTCCGCATCTGATGATGACCCACGGTCCTCCGTCTCCTGGCCTCCCAGCTCCGCATCTGATGATGGCCCACGGTCCTCCGTCTCCCGGCCTCCCAGCTCCGCATCTGACAGCGTGCCTCCTCCTCGGCAGATAAGCAGGAGACACTGCGCGTGGCGGCGCACGAGCGTCTGGGCGAGGTGCTGCGCATCCTGCGTACCGTGCTCGAGCGCTACGCCCCGCTGCAGAGCACCGAACTCTTCATGGCCGCCGGCGCGCTTATACAGCAAGTCAAACGTGAGTACTTGCGACGTGGGGGATGGGGTGGGGGTGGGGGTGGAAGGCGGACCGGCGGCGAAGAAGCGGCGCAGGCTGCAGCTGCCGCTGCGCGTGCTCACTTGGGTAAAAATTTACGGCATGCTTGCGGGATGACACGGAATAAGAAGCGACTCGCGTGAGCGCACGGCGCATCCGGCTCCAGCGTGCCGTGACCTGTGCGTGCAGGGTCAGGTCTGGGCCCGCGGTGACCTCGGTCGTCCGGGCAGTGGGCAGACGCGAGCGAGGCGAACGGGGCCAGAGAGGGCCGCGTCCTCCGCGCCGCACCAAATTATAGGCGGCGGGTGAGTGACGAGGGGCATGAAATGAATCACCAATGCCGTGCCGCTCGGCGAACTGTCGGCTCTGACACCGGCGGGATGCATGTGTGGCGCGCCCAGCTGCGAGCGCGTCTTCATCGCCGAGAGAAGAGGCGCTGCAGGTGCGGCGGCAGCGTCACGTTTATGCGCCCGCGTGGTGGAAGAGTCTGGGCGAGCTTCGGAAGCAGCGCAAACACGCCACACCCTGCTGCATCGTTGATGAGGCACCCTGACGTATGCTTAGTCTTTCGGAAAGGGGTCGATATTGTTATTCGTTTTTTCCACTGTTATCGATTGGCCTAAGGTAAATGCATTGCCATCCTGTTTGCGAACGAAAATTGGTTTTGCTTATTCGAAGGTTTGGTTTGCCACTCAGTGTGTTAGAGGTATGTCGCGCTCATCATTTTTTAACGGAAATGCCATGTTCATATTGTTTGACTGAACAGTCTTAGTCTTGCAACTTTGGTTTACCACGCGCTAGGGTGGAGAGACAAATTGACCCGGCCTCCCCCGCAGGTTTTTCCGGAATGATATCCGAAAAGGGTGGTGTAGCGGCGCCAAAAGTTCGCATAGTTATAGAGAATTGGGTAGCGGATCTTTTGAGGTAAAAGCAGATTTACCTTGTGAGGTTTCTGATCTACGGCAGGTCAATGTCAAGCCATGGCTGTTAGTGAATGGCATTTCTAGCAATTTGTTCAATGCAATGCAGCAACGGAGTGTTGGACGAAACCATATATATCTGAGGTAGTTTCTTATTGAATAAACCATATTAATTCAGGATTGCAACCACTTCTCTTCACTAAGGGTCTGATGTGAAGGTGAGAACGAAGTCAAAACTAATCTGCTCTTTGCTGTATCGCTTGGTTTTATCGGGGAAGATCCTGGTGCTCTTTTCGAATTTAGTAATGACAGGGACCGCAACAAATATGTTCCATTAACTATTTAAGTGTCAGAGTAGGTCACTGACCTAAAGTGACCCAGGTCACCCTCTTGTTTTTAGGAGCACACCGCCCAGCGCAATCCCTGCCATTATTCGAATGACAACATAAGAGCAGCCTCGTAGGTATTCAGTCACCTCGACCCTATAAAGGTCAAAAAGGTGACTAACCTTACTGACCTTTTGCTTGGAACAGGTATCTGACTTTACGACGCTTGCATGAGGAAATCTAGGGGCACTTGAGACACCAATCTGGAGTTTGCCCCTGTTTGACCTCATTTGACCTCAAGGTTGTGACCTGGGAGCCTTTAATTTTTGCACAAATGAATGGCAATCTACACAGTGAGTTTGGGTCTCGCTGTCTTAGTCTTTGAGATCTCGCGTGGGTCAAATTGCCCCTCTCCGCACCCCGCCCGAGCGAAGGATATTCAACTGGCTACTCCTGTGCGCTTTGAAGAGGGACTCCATATGCGGGGGGACTTCACTGAAATAGCCATTTTGCGGATCGTTCTGTGCAGTTCACAATCCTGTCCCTCTTTAGACCTGCACCTCTCTAGTTTCTGAGCTACATGCCCGCAAAGATGTATAGACTTCTTCTTGCAGGTCTATTTCAAGACCACCCAGACATCCATGACGTCATAATAATACACTTAAATTTTATCATTTCATTAGCTATGCGGCGATCATTGCCACAAAATATGTTTGCCGAATGGTTCATATCTAGTGTTCGTGGGCACAATCTCCAAATATAGCGGTCGACGTATTTAGGAAGAAATTTATTAAATACAGAAATTGTCATGTCTAAGGCAGCCTATTTCCCTTAGAAGTTGTAAGTGAGCTTATTTCATAACGTGTAATGTTTGCTTCAACATCTGAAAATATGACACATTCCCTCTTATCAGAGTTCTTTAATCGGACCCTGCTGTGCCTGCTGACTTTAATCCATTGTTATAAAGATAGGTGGTAAATATGCTGCAGGTGCTGCACATAGCAGTGCTCGTGCTGGGAGACCTTGAATGGGCTATAAAGTCACGAGACGGCTGCACGCGGTGGAGGTTCCACTCCTCGTCCAGAACACACGAACACATTCAATTCAATTAAAAGGGGCGGCGGCGTTGCGCAGCGGCGCCTTGACATCTGACGCTGCTTGTCAGACAAGCGTGACCACGAAACGTCCATATAAGACACGCTTCACTTGTGTTCTTGATGACAGTGAAGCGCACCAAGAACGAAGAGCCTGGATCTACGTAGTTTAACCTGGGACATTGTGATCCGACTAGCTTGTTCTCGGTCGTGAAGTAATGAGTTGCACCAGGTGCGGTCTGCTCTGCTACCTACAGTCCGTTTCAGAACAGAGTTGAATAGCGATCAGTTAGAACTAGTCGTTGGTCGTGACTGGAACAATGACCCAAATATCGTCTTTCACATGGACACGTATTGTGCTGTACTATGTAGTGGCTCGACGACATCTGGAAACGGGTGTAACCCAGAGTAAACCGGATCACACAGATAAACCGGATCACACAACGGAGTACAGATCACATCTCCATCCGGTCTGTTGTTTTCCCAGTATTCGTTTGTGAAGAGCCTCTAGAACCGCAGTTTGTCGCGGGCCCAACCATGAGCCCCGCCACGGAGCTGTTACATTCCAGCAACAGTCCTACGCTCGTCTCCCTCCGCCGTCGGCCAGCGCAACCGTAGCTAAGGCGCCCACAGTCGCCCCCGCGGTGCCCCCGAGGGCATGCCGCCCACCTACCGAGACGCAAGTGGGAGGGGCGCGGGCGGCACCCCGCCCCCGGCCCGGCCGCGGCCGGCGTGTGTGTGGGACGCCGCGCACGACGCCGCCTGCATACGGCCGCCACGGCCCGATGCCGCTCGCCCCGAGATGGGCGCCGACCGGCGGTGGACCCAGCTGCACTTGTGCTGATTGCTATCGACGGGGGTCGGGACGTGTAGGCACGGTACAAGGTGGCGGCCAGCGCGCGCGCCGTGCGTCGCGCCGCACCGCTCTACCGTCAGGCGGGTGAGGAATTCGAAGGCAAATAGGCTGACAGTGTTGACACTTTCCGCTTCGAGTGTTCGTTGCGCACGTACTCCACACACACCTGTGAGGCGCGCTCGCCCCTGCTAGTTATGCCACTCAGGCTTGCTGCGTCACGACAGGCATCCCGCAGACCATTTGTCCAGGCGTGAAGTGTTGATTCGCTCCCTGGAGTTGCACCTCCGTGTCAGCAGGTGTCCATCGGGCGCTCAGTTCAGTCCGCCTCCGCGCCGGTCGTATCTCGCGGCCGCCTCGGCGCCACCTGTGCCGGACTCCGCCGCACCCCGGCCGCCCTGGCGGGTTCCGGTTCTGTGACCAAGCGGGCCACGGCTGGTCCCACGGTCGCGGGGAGCATCGCCGGGGGCGCTCCGGCTCCGGCTGATATCCGACGGCCAGCTCGGCTCGTATCGCGGCCCGCCAGACGGACGTGCCGGCGGCGCGGTGAAATGGGTCTGTGCCGGCTCACCGACGGCGGATCGTACCCCGACGCGGGCCGCTGAGGACGAGCGGCCGCCGGAGACGCGGCCCGTGGCGGGATTTTGGGGGAAAGTTTGACGCCGCCATGTCGACGGGCGGCGGGGTGGGCCCGGAAGCCTCGCACACGCGGTACTGCAGTCCGGCCTGGCGGTCGCCGGTTGCGAGAACGAATCCCAACCTTTGTTTGGCGTCGATTTGAGCTTTGACGTTTCTGGGCTGGGCCACCTGAGCCTCGTCTTGCAGTCGAGGGCGGGCACGAATCGTACCGGTACTCGAAAAATAGTCCATTTCAAAGCATAATCGCGTGAATGGCCTTAGGGCCAGAGAAATTGCCAAGCAAAGGTGGCTGTCTGCGCCATGCCATTTACGTCAATCATCGCCCATGCAATGCGACTCGATTTCAATAAATAGTAGTTGCATGAGCCTTATAATCAGGATCGCAAAGCGATGTCCTCATGTCATGTAACGGTCGGGTAAGGGGAAAGCCGACCACGTTGGCACGCCTATTTGGCATGACCGGATCTTCATCGGAACCATCGCTGTTTTTTTTGTATCTCGTTGTTGGCAGTCATGTTTGTTTTGTTCCCTATAACTACTGCCATTACTGCTGTCCGTTGTTAGTTCTAGTGCCTATTCTTCACTGCTTTTCGTTCCGAAACACATACTTAGCTGTGTGATATGTCTTTGAAAGGAATTTGTTCTGCACCTTCACAACTTTTTCCATGTTTTGTGCTTTTGATAATTTGGAATAGATCGAATCACAACATAAGCTCACTAAGGGGACCAAAATCCATTTTAATAACGACGTCAACACGAATGTCTGAGCCTAGTTCTGTGAACAGCTGACATATGCGGACCGTGTCATCGTGTAGTTTTCGCTTTCGACCCTGAGACTCCACGCACCTACGCTCAAACTCCCGTTGCCACCCTCAAAGCCCCGCCGCCACTGCTTGGGCCCCCGGCACCTGGCCGCCCGGGTCTCTCATCGAGGCGGTGCTCCCGCGGGGTGTGACCTCTCTGTGGGACGGTGCCGTGGCCGCTGGCCGCACACCAGCCGCCGGGCCGGAGGGCGCGGCTCCAGGGTCCCTGCGGCGGCCGACCGGTGCAGCGCGGAGTGTGACCTCTCTGTGGGACGGTACCGTGGCCGCTGGCCGGACACCAGCCGCCGGGCCGGATGGCGCCGCTCCAGGGTCTCTGCGCCGGTCGACCGGTGCAGCGCGGGGGCTGCCGGCGCAGCGCGGGGTGTGACCTCTCTGCGGGACGGTGCCGTGGCCGCTGGCCGCACACCAGCCGCCGGGCCGGATGGCGCGGCTCCAGGGTCCGTCGGGACCGGCTCCCTGCGGCGGCCGACCGGCGCAGCGCGGGGACCGCCGGCGCAGCGCGGGGACAGCCGGCGGGCCGTCTAGACCCGCTCCGTTCAGCCAAGGCTGTGTCGTGCCGTGCCGTGCCGTGCCGTGCCGTGCCGTGCCGTGCCCCTGCTGGGTACCGGCCGCTGGAGGCGCAAGAGATGTCGTGAGGGGGACTTGTGAGTCATGTGCAGAGTGCCGTGACTTTACTCGAGGACTGAACATGAAGAGGCTATGGAGTATGGCAGTCGTGCACTTTCCCAGTTTGCATACTCATAGGAGGTGTTTCTGCGATTATTGTCCTTCGTCATGACTGATTCTGAGACGCAACATGAATCGTAGCTTGTCAGATTTATCTCAAGTGTGATGAGCCTACGTCTTGGGAATTTCAATTATGACTGACTACAGACCCGAAGCTTGGCTTTACTCTTGGCTCCGACCGCAACGCGAAGCATAGCTGAGGATATACCAGGTGTGGCAGGCTTACACTGTGTGAAGGGAGACTTACTGGTATAATGGTAGTGATTATACGTTTGATATTACAGCATATCTAACCATGTCGTAATATTTGCGTATTCACATCAGGCGATTTGTGTTGCATTGCTTGGTACGTTTAAGATAAGCTATCGCTGTCGTTGGTCTAGAGTTGTACGATATTCGGTTTTCGAAACAAACGATGACTATCGATGGCCTGATGGCGACGGCTTATTGGCTCGTTCCGAATCGCGGCGATCAGTCGGCTGGGCTGAAAGCCGCGGCGCCCTGATTTCGAACCGCACGAACTTCGAGCCTGTAAGTTTTTGCTGAGACAACGGGAAGGATTGGAGCGGCTTCCCCAATCCCCGCCGGCCTCGAGAACCGTTGCTGCGAACTCGGCGAGTTCGGAGAGCGATGAAAGAGGCGGCTTCGGCTCAGGTGCCTGTACTCAGACGCCGGGCCCTGCTGCGCCGTTCAAGGTGTCGGCAGATGGCAGCACGGGCGCGGCGGCTCATCAGCCTAATACATATTTACGGCTAATTTTGCACCGTCTCGAAACAGCCGCCGCGCCGGCCACCGTCGGCGGGTAACGATTGGCCGCCGCCGACGCCGCGGCGGTGGCTCCCTCAGGAGTCGTTCCGGTCATTCGGCGAGCAGGCCGACACGGCACGAGCGCAGCGGCGCAGTTCGGCCGGCAGGACGAAGTCGCCCAATGGCTGATGCCACCTGTCCGGCGTGGCGCGTGCGCCGCGGAAGGAGGCAACAGGCGGGGTTGTGCGGCGCTGATTTACGGCGCGGTCGGGCGGCGTGTGGCGAACGGGGCGCTCTGATGGCGTGCGTCTGAGTGCGCCGCTGGCAGGCGGTGAGCCGCGGTCGCGGACGGCCGCCAAACGTCCGGTCCGGCAAGCCGGCGCCGCCGCCCCGCCCGTCCCCCTCCCCCATGTCCGGCCAGCTAATTGATTGCCGCGGTCGCGGCGGTCGCGGCCCGGTCACGGCGCGTCGGTCACTTTTATTGACGCAGATCAGGAACTGCTGTCCGCGGGCGGCGGCGTTCGGTTGGCGAGATGTGCTGTGCGCGGGCGCTGGACGCCCCCGCACATGCTGCTGTATCGTCCGGCGAAACCTCAGCTCGAGAAGTTGGATAAATCACTTTGCACATGCCTAATCCAGGCGTCTGTAGAGAAACGTTTATGCGGAAGTTCAAACACCCGCGGAGTGTAAGGCCGCGAAAGTTTTGCTGCTGGTTGATTTTGGGTTGGGCTTGACTTTTCAGGCAGTTGGGACACGGCTCGCCTTTGGTGACAAGTATACGAATGTAAGAGGAATGAGGCACATGCATTGATAATTGTCTTAGTACCTTTGGGTTTCCATCGTCATTCATATAAGCAGTCACATATTCGCAGTCTGATTTCAAATGTTAGAGTTAGTGAGGATGGGGAGCCGCGCAACGCGAGATATTTGCGGCTAGAGCAGCGATGGAAATCGTCTTCAGCGTATCGTTGCCAATTGACTAAGCCCATGAATATTTGAATTTTTGGACGCTACGGTGCCTTAATCTAGAATGTAGAACAGTACCGGAGCCGCACTGCTGTCATCTGCCATTTACTGATATCATTGAAGACGTGTACCCGTTTACTCCGGCTCTGAGTTTCTGAGAAGCTCTTGTGTCTTGTAGTTCCGAAGTACTTGCCCGTGCCAACCACACGCGAAACCGGGCCGTTTGTCGAGCTTGAGTATGTTCCGTCTGATTGCGCTTTGCTTCCCTGCCGCTTGCGAGCTCCGCTGGCAGCCTCTGACCGGCCGACGCCGTGTGTCTGTTGCAGAGCACGGCTACGAGGACGAGAAGGCGGACCCCACCGAATTCTTCGAGTCCATCGACCAGCTGGCTCTGGCGTTCAGCAGCCGGTCAGTACCCTCCCTCCCCCTCCCCCTCCCCCCACTTTCCCGCCTCGCTCGAAGCAACCGAAACCTGACCCACATCCGGTGGCTGGACTTGACAGGTCTGGCGCCCTCCGACAATGAGCTGGCGGGTAATGGAGCCACTCCGTTCGCGGCGAGGGGCGGCACTCGCCAACTCGAGGGTCGCGTGACTCTCTGCCGTCAGTCTCGGACGTGGACTGGCCAGGACGCCATCGCCGCGCCCGGTCCGAACACGCGAGCACGTGTCTCGCCGCCGCGGCCTACAGCCGCTGCTCTGGGACAGTCGCTAGCTCCGGGAGGCGGCGGTGCCCCGGCGCGGCCCGGGACCCGCCGCGGCCGGCACCGGTGTCGTCGGCGCGGCCCGGCCGACGCCCGGCGTGTGTGCGCCGCCGGTATCGACGGCAATATCCGCGCTATCGCCACCGGCGGCGCCACTCCGAGCCAGCGACGTCGGGCCGGTGTCGGCCGGGCCGGCGCCGGCAGCTGGCCGCCGCGGGGGGTGGGGGGGGGGGGGGGAGCATGGCGTCCAGGCACTGAGAGCTCTGATACATCAGCAGGAGGTGGCGTCGCCTGGTGGGGGTGAACCGCTCTTTCCCTCCCTTGTTTCTTACAGCCAATGCATCTCTTGGATAGTAGTTGTGTTTCTGCACCTGTTTTACGTAGTGTTAGAGACCTGGTGGCTAAACTGACCCTGGCTACAGGAGCTCGTTGGTAAAATATTTGTAGTGTCACAACGCCGGCTTTTCCGGTCAGCTGAACCAGCAATGTTCACGTACACACGCACATACCGCGCACGCCAGACGGTTTTAAGTTTGTGTCTCGCAAGACAGTTGTGAACGTTTGCTCCCTGTCAAGGTGCTTGTAGCGCGCAGGCGTACAGTGAGCACGTGCCGATTTTTCGGGCTCATTGGCCAGATCACTGCTCCAATGACCCGTAGCGAGGCCATGCGCTTTAAGTAGGCTCCCAAACCGAAGCGTTCATTCAAGGGCAGCCCATGCCCATGATCCCAATGCACGGTCCACTCAAGGCAGACCTTGCCCGTGACCCCAGTGCCGCGGGGGTTTCCAAACCGAAGGTTCCATTGAAAAGACAGACCATGCTCGTGACCCCAACGCCGAAGGAGCTCTTTGGTACTGTGTTGCATGGTGGTTATGTACTGAATAGGAACCGGTCGGGAAAACCCTTACTAAAATAATGCTTCAACCAACGACTTCTCTTCTACTTACGCGAACGCACTAGCAAACCATACTCCCAAGGTAGTGCTTACTTTTGCTGGCGTAACCGTGTGGCGCAAACACAAGTGTTCATCCAGTTTGACGAATCAGGAGCGTGTTTAAGATTCAGATTGCAGCAGTCAGGCACACACCACACGGTGTCATCAGACACATGTCTAATGCATGATGGCCAAGCACATCATTTCGCTACCACGAAGAGGCGTGCTGGCACGCGTTGTGCCGCGCAGCAAGTATGCTGCCGCCGCCGCTGATCGCCACGGAGTACGGTGTGGTTTCGCCTGCTCTGCAGCATTAATAGGAACGGTTCTTGTTTCCCATGAAATGGGACCGAAAAGGTAGCGATACCAAAGCTGCATCAGTGAGCTACGTGACGTCACGCCACTGCATCAAGTTGCACGGCGTCGCTGCATTGACCGGCAGTGACGTCGGTCCATTCCGGTGCCTCGGGTCATCAGGTCGTGACCTCAGGTCATCAGCTCGTAACCGCAGGTCATCGGCTCGTGATCGCGGTGACTGACGAACGACGCGTGCTCACAGGCCAGCAGTGCCCATTAGGTCGAGCTGACCAGGTGCGCCCTCACGACCCTCCTCGTTGTGACCTCAGGTCAACAGCTCGTGGCCCCAGCTCATCAGCTTGTGACCGCGGCGAGCGATGCGCGCTCACAGGCCAGCAGTGCCCGTTAGGTCGAGCTGACCAGGCGCGCCTTCACGACCCTCCTCGTTGTGACCTCAGGTCAACAGCTCGTGGCCCCAGCTCATCAGCTTGTGACCGCGGCGAGCGATGCGCGCTCACAGGCCAGCAGTGCCCGTTAGGTCGAGCTGACCAGGCGCGCCCTCACGACCCTCCTCGTTGTGACCTCAGGTCAACAGCTTGAGGCCCCAGCTCATCAGCTCGTGACCGTGGCGAGCGACGCGCGCTTACAGGCCAGCAGTGCTCGTTAGGTCGAGCTGACCAGGCGCGCCCTCACGGTCCTCCTCGTTATGACCTCAGGTCAACAGCTCGTGGCCCCAGCTCATCAGCTCGTGACCGCGGCGAGCGACGCGCGCTCACAGGCCAGCAGTGCCCGTTAGGTCGAGCTGACCAGGCGCGCCTCACGACCCTCCTCTTGGCGGCCTCACCGGCGGGACACTTTGCACGCGGACGACTCTAGCGGCGCGGGTTCCTGCGCCCTTCTCGCTGCCTGCCGTGGGGAACCCCAGCGCAGTGTTGCCCGTCGCCGTGATGGGCTCGCTGGCGGTGCTTGGCGCCCTTTTACGATCTCCCACCATCTCTGCCTATCAATAGCCAATATGACTGCGACATTGACGGAGATCCCGGACGGCGGAGGCGGCGGTGGACGGCCGCGGGCGGTTCTCGGTCCCAGCTGCCGTGGCGGGATGCGGCAGCCCTCTCGGACGGCTTCTGGTGCGGGCAGCGGCGCTGGAGCTTTCCAGGTCTCGAGACCGAACAGCGCTGGCGGTGCCGGCGGGACGCGGGTGGGGGGGGGGGGGGGGGGGGGCACGCGCCGACGAAGAATTAGTAGGAGGAGGACGAGACACACGTGATCGACTTTGCGGCTGTCGCTTGGCGTCTTCTGCTTCTCGTGTCGTGCAGTCACAAGGCGCAGCGCACGAGGTGACATCGTCCAAAACTGCGTTATCGCCAAGAGCTTCTGATTGGCTGGCATGTGTGTTCATGTGCATGTGTGTCCAATCAGGCGCTTTGCTAGCCCATTTCACCTCGTCGGACTTGGTTGTCAACAGAAATGAGGTGCACTCTCCAGGCGGCCAGTCTGCGGACGTTGTGGACCCTTCTGTCAAATCATTCCCTTCTCCTCATCGAGACGTCGATGACTTGTTTACTGCCACGTCCGATCCATCTGTTGCGCCAGTGCATGGACCGGGGCCCATTCCGTCACCTGCATGCTACATTATGAGCTTTTCTTATGACTCGTAACGGGGTTTGTGACCGGCATTTTTCGCATCTCACTGTTGCCACTCATTGTCAGTTCCAGCTGTGTCAGAAGTCTGGGCTCGTGGACGCAATAGGGCGCCCGCGAAAGTGGGTGAAAGTGGTTTTTTTATTGCTGTCAATCAGGCGTCATTTTTGGGCGCTGGGTGAGATTGCTTTGTTTGTTCCTGCCAATAACGGCGGGCCAATCGCAGGGTGTGTAAAAAGCCCAGATGCTGGGGAATGTCCGAATATCTGCCGCTTACCACCCGCGGCGTGCAACATCGGCCCACGGGGGTGGGGCTTATCCAGGCCCAGCGCGCGATAGCACGCAGGCCAACAATGGTCACTGCACAGGTATTTAGAAGATCGATTAAAAGTGAAGGCTTCCCCAAGGATTTATGTTACTGTGTACGTATGTGTGGAGGCGTGTGATAGGCGTGTGTGTGGACATCATTCTAACTTAACAATGTTTCTACAATCACACTTGAATCGGCCAGCAAGATACGAGATCCAAATATGGAGTAAACTTACGCGTAGCAGGCTACTTGGGAATTATTATTCGTTATTCTGGGGTCGTTCTCGATGGGTACGTTGCTAGCAACAGACACTGATGACAACTGATGGCAACCGAACGACTCGTGTTTTGCATGTCCGGCACAGTGGGCCCTGACTGGCTGCTCAGCGACCAACCCACCAACTGCGCCGTGTCCAACAGGGTGTCGGAGTACCTGATGGGCGACCTGGACTCGTCCTCGACCGTGCTCACGTCGTCCTCGTCCAAGGCCAAGTCGTGCGAGAACCTGGCGTCCGACGCCGAGTCGGCCGTGGTCGAGGCGCGAGACGAGTGCGGCGCGGCGAGCCAGCTGTCGGCGCAGCAGCTGGATGCCACGCTGCACAGGTGAGATGCCGGTGCTCACCGTCGAGAGCGACTCTATGCTGACCGCGGTTTGTGTGCGCCAGCTATCTAATGCTGCCAAGCTGGGCTGTTTTATGGATGCATTTGACGTCTGTCGGCATGGATGACGTCACTGAAGATGAAAAAATTCAGAGAGGACGAAAACTGCGCGTGTGCATTGTGTATTGTGCGGTGGGATTTGAACCCAGACCTCTAGATGCAGGATCGAACGCTTCAAACGACCGCTCCCCGGTGATATGACACACTCACGTGCCTGCCCTGGGGGGGGGGGGGGGGCCGGTTTCGGGAAGTTCGCCGTGTTTCTCGAACGGCCGTGTTCTGACCACGCGCTCGCCACGTAACCCCGCAGATTGGATCAGGGCGTGGAGGTGGCGCTTCACCGCGCAAAGGTCTGGTCCAAGTACGCCAAGGACGTGCTGAGCTACGTGGAAAAGCGGACGGGCCTCGAGATGGAGTACGCCAAGAACGTGGCGAAACTGGCGCAGACGATGCGCTGCGCGCTGAAGGAGGATGTGAGTGGTGCTCGGTTCGGGGTATGCCTGCGCTATTAATGTACGGTCTGGGCGCTCCATTTGTCTGTATGGTCTAGACTTGCTTTTGAGGGGCGTCTAGCCACTCAGCAAAAACGTCGTCTTTGTGTGGTGAATTAGTTTCTTGGTTCTACGCGTCGCTAAGGTTTCGCTGGGCTGGATCTTCTCATTGATATGCGAACTGACATTAAAGTACATGTAGCAACATGAAATCTAATAATGTCGTCGGTGCTTTTAAGAGAACATGTGCTTGCAGATGATATTCTTCATACATGAATATATTACAAACGTATCCAAGGCAACTAAGCCCGGATACGCACGCATACAAATTATCGTCACGTTCCATGACCAACGCAGTCTGCTGATCAGCTCGCATTGTTGCATGATGCAGCACATAATTATCGTCGTGTTTCAGAGTTTTCTACCATTCCAATCGATCTACTGCACGGCGCTGGACCAGGATCTGGAGAACTCAGCAACGGTCCAGAGCACGTGCGCCCTCTTGCAGGGCCACAAGTTCATGGAGGTACGAGTCCAGCTCTCACGCTCTACATTCGCGGAATTTCCCGCATAGCCCAAGGCTGCATACAGGGCGCAGAGAAAGCGGCAGTTTACAGCAATAGTACATTCTCCGTGGGCACCGCCCGCAAAGTAGTGTAATAACTCACGTCTTGCCAACGATCGTGCTATGATAAGAAACGATAGCGCCCTCAGAAGTATAATGACGTAATGTAGCACGTTATGTGCGCTCCATGTTTCATGGACAGCGGGTGGCACCAAGGCCTGTTTTGCCAGACTGAAATGCCTACCACCAACCTGTCAACTCTTCGTTGTCCATGCAAATTCACGCAACAGCTAGCACATCAAGCAACAGGGAACTTACGTTTTCGACCATTTCCCCATTAAAACGTTCCAATACCCAGCAAACAGCTCTTAGCTTGTGCTACGTTCTGTCTGCATTCTCCTATCCGAAAAGCCATGAGCTGGCTTGCTGGGCTCTCACCAGCTTCAGTGCGTCCTTGTTTACTGTGGTGGCCTGTCCCCCGTAGCCGCTGGGAGCGCGCCGGAACGACCACGAGCGCAGCAGGAAGCAGATCAAGGAGCTGTGGCACCGTGAGCTGAAGCGCATGCACGAGACGGTGGCCAATCTGCGGAAGGCCAAGATGATGTACATCCAGGTGAGGTCGCAGGTGCCGCCCGACACCGTTGGTCGCGGGAGAGCGACGCCCGGGCTGTGAAGGGGGGGGGGGAGATGTCGGGTGTAGCGTGGCGCTGTACAGGGGCCGGTCGTCTGGGTCGGAGGCCACCCTAGCTGGCCAGAGACGAAGCTGCGGCCCGCGTGGTCCGCAGTGACGGCCGCCGTTCGTCGGAGCTGGGCGCGGCGACATGCAGCCCTCCGGCCCTGCACCCGGCTGGATCGCCCCGCTCTGACCGTGTCCCTCTGCCTCTCCCTCGCCCACTGCGTGACACCGCAACAGCGTCCCCGAGGCTGCCGGAAGCCCGGCACCCGCGGCCGGCTCGTGTCCGTGCGCGCGCGCGCCGTCGCCCTGACGCGGGCTGGTGGGCGCGAGGGCTCGCGGCGGGCGTAAGCCCGCGACCGTCGCGCGCCACACGTGCCGCGTCGGCCTCGTGCGTTCGTCGCTCGTCTGCGGCTGGCGGCCTCGCTCGGCTTCCTCTGCCGTCCGGCAGCAGAGGGCCTCCCGCGGCGGCCGACGCCGCACACACTCCCTGTTAGACACTTAAATGTGCATAATTCAGACGCTAATTCCGATGTCACAGCGGGAGCCATTTCTGGTGACAGAGACAGTTTAAGTGAATTGAGAGGAGCGACCAGGAATAGACAAATCGTGAGCATCAAAGCCGGGCTATTGAGGCTATTGAGGCTATATAGGCTATATGTCTCGGGATTTCGGTGGCTGCCCGTGAGTGGTGGTTTCGCATTTATCCAACGCCGCCGCTGTTCTTGGCTTAGGCAGCTAGTCCGTGCAGTGGTATCGCTTTGGGTATTTAGAAAGATTTAGCTTTAGCGCCTGAAAGGAGAAGAGGGATAGACTGATCGCCACTACCTGAAGGCCCTGCTCGTGAATAGATGTCTAGGCTTATAAATGCTCCTCTTTGCATTTTTCGCACCCGAACTGAAGCCAATTTGTAACCACATGCCTCCATTCCGGATGTCATCAGTGTCCTGGGTTGAAGTCTGCTCACAGCGGAGACAACCGGTCAAAGTTGGGGCATAAAATAGCCACACGCCGCCACCGACGTTGCCGTGCTGGCCGTACCATACCGACCTTATCATACCGACCTTACCATACCAACCTTACCATGCCAACACTACCATACTGGCCGTAACATACCCGCATTACCATACCAGCCTTACCATACCCACCTTATTATACCGACGTTACCGTACCGACGCTACCATACCGACGTTACCATGCCGACGTTACCATACCCACCTTATCATACCGATGTTACCATATCGATGTTACCAATACCGACCTTACCATACCGAGCAGCTTACCACACCGACGATACCATACCGACGTTACCATACCGACGTTAGCAATACTGACCTTGCCATACCGAACTTACCATGCCGATGTTACGATACCGACGTTGCCGAGCCGCCGTGCCGAGCCGGCCGTACGCAGGTCCGACGTGCCCGGACTGGCCGTGCTCCAGCGGTCTGCGCTCGGGCCCGCTGCGCTACGACCGGCCGTGCTCGAGCGGTCTGCGCCTAGGCCCGCTGCGTTATGACCGGCCGTGCTCGAGCGGTCTGCGCCTAGGCCCGCTGCGCTATGACCGGCCGTGCTCGAGCGGTCCGCGCTCGGGCCCGCTGCGTTATGACCGGCCGTGCTCGAGCGGTCTGCGCCTAGGCCCGCTGCGCTATGACCGGCCGTGCTCGAGCGGTCCGCGCTCGGGCCCGCTGCGCTATGACCGGCCGTGCTCGAGCGGTCCGCGCTCAGGCCCGCTGCGCTACGACCGACCGTGCTCGAGCGGTCTGCGCCTAGGCCCGCTGCGTTATGACCGGCCGTGCTCGAGCGGTCTGCGCCTAGGCCCGCTGCGCTATGACCGGCCGTGCTCGAGCGGTCCGCGCTCGGGCCCGCTGCGCTATGACCGGCCGTACTCGAGCGGTCCGCGCTCGGGCGCGCTGCGCTATGACCGGCCGTGCTCGAGCGGTCTGCGCTCGGGCGCGCTGCGCTATGACCGGCCGTGCTCGAGCGGTCCGCGCTCAGGCCCGCTGCGCTATGACCGGCCGTGCTCGCCGGTCGTTTAGAGCGCGACCCGGCGGCGGGGTTAATTAAGCCGGTTCATTATGCATGTGTCTCGGACAGCCGTCGGTGCGGCGCTGCTTCGGTAGGCTACTCGCGCGCCGCTGAGCCACGCCAGCTCAGGGTACTCCCCGCGGACCCACCGGTGCTGCTGCGCGACTGGTGGGTCGCTGCGCCACCCCCCCCCCCCCCTCCCCACCCCCCTGCCCCGCCACTAGCGGCCCCGTTACGTGTTTTGGACGCACGCGTTTGGCGCTGTGTAAATATTGGATTACTTGTTCAGGACAGCATGCAATGGTGGGTCGCGGTGAGGGCGAATGGATTCTCCAGAGCTGGAAAATTCATTCGCCCTCACCTGTTACTGTTTAGAAGAACAACAGAAGTTATGCAGCACAGGAGTGTTTGCTTTCCTTTGTTGGGAGTTACGTGCGGCCTCTCCTGCTGCTTTGCTCTTGAGTTAAACACCTTTTGTTGGCATCACCCAAGCTTATCAGACTCGTGTGGAGTTCCTTTTAACTGTTAAACCGTGTGTTATATGAAGTTACGCTCTTGCTATCTCCATGAACGGAATCTGCTACTTCTCTTATTATTATCAAAGCTTGCTTTGGAAATTAACTTTCTGGTCTGTCCATGAATGGAATGAAGAATCTGTGCGCGACATATATGTATGCAATGCTATTTTGCGATGCAGTGTTTACTGTTGAGGAATTCTTAGCATGGGCACGAGTCCAAATTCAGTGCGGCCTTTGTTAGCCCGCTTTGGCCGGTCTCATTCGTGTCATTTCTCTACTGCATGTAAAAGGACGTGGCGGAGTCATTCCAGCGCAGCGTTTATAATTTTGTCTTCCCTTATAATGATGGGAAGTTATTTTACCTAATGGAAGTTGCGTGTCATGCACATTGTTTTCGTAATGCAATTGTGCCCTGAGTATGGGGCAATTGGAACCGTTGAGTGAAAGCCGCCGGTCTTAAGTACCCATTTATTTTAAAGGACAACGGCCGAGGAAGACGACAAATGGTCTGCGCAACGAACATTCAGGACGAATGAAGCCGTCATGGGCCGAAGCCAAATGCAGCCGCTGAAACCATTGCTCAGGCACGCTCGGTGATTAATGGTTCGGGCGTGCTATGCAAATGCCGCCAAAGCAGATGTAAATTTCTGGTCTCCGAGTTCTCCACCACAATGCCTGCGATAATGGGGACAAAACCCTCCGTCCAAACGGAGCCCGGACGTGGACGACTGGTCGTTAAGCAGCACGCAGCGCAGCACAACGAGGTGGTGTGCTGGGAGCGGTCCTCAAGTCGCGCTCACCGTGCTGCGTGCGGTACCGGGAATTGCGTGGGGTGGCGTCCTGTTTGGCTGCCGTGTTTAGGTGGTAAACACTGATCGCTGCATTGTCCTCAGAAGGAGCAAAGTTTCTCTTTGGATGCTCTTGTGGTCTCGCTCGCTTGGTAATCTTCGTGCGATTACATAAGAGGTGGAGGTGGAGTCACTCAGGCTTAACCGGTTCAAACTGGCTGGCATCCGCTCACACTAGGCAAGGTTTCGGACGAATATTGCACCGGAGACACAAGCCTCTTCGGACTTTGAAACAGAGCGTGGGCGGCGTGCGAGTGTCAGTTTCAGTTTTGATCAGGCGCCTGGCGGCGCGGCCGTCGGATCGGCGAAGTTTCCCTCGTCGGCTGCGGCGTCGCACGCGCCGCCGAGACGGGCGGGCTGCACCTCTCGCCGCACGCCGCGGCGCCGGTGCGTGTGGCCTCCTCCGGTGTTTGCCAACTGCGTTGACGTGGGAGTGACGTCACAGCCCGCCGAGGCCGGCGTTCGTCTGTCGGCTCGCTGGAACCGGTGGAGGGAGGGGAGGGGGCGACGGCGGAGCGAGGCCGCGGCTAGACGGACGTCGCCGTCTGGCCGCGGCCCGGACCTGACCCGCAAGGAGAGGAGCTTCGGGGTCGCTGCAGACGTCCCAACCGGGATCAGGGAGCGCGCCAGCCTCACACGTTCAGGTGCCATCAGCGTGTCTTGTTCCGTTGCAGCGCCAGCAGGAGTACGAGCGGGCTAAGGAGGTGGCGCTGCGGGCGGAGGCGGGCGAGCAGACCGAGGCCAGCCGGACTGAGAAGAAGCGCCGTCTCGAGGAGGACGCCCTGGAGAAGGTACTGCGCGCCGGCCTGACGCTCACGTCGGCGGTGTGTCAGAACGCGCGAGCAGTCTTCTCGCACTCCGTCGGGCGCGAGGTGCATGCTGCAGTCGCCATGACATACGCGGGTAATCTCGGGGGAAGGATTTGCGACGACGGGGGCGGTCGCCGTCACTGGGTCAGGAGCGGCGGCATTTGATTATTACGTGTGCACTTGCGCGCCGTTTGGCACCGATGGCAAATGAAGCTCGATTGAGACAAAGACCGGACGCAATCAGTCCCACGTCTGGGCGCGGGCCTTCCCGGCGCCAGAAAATGTGGGATCGTATTGAAATAATTATGATCCGGTTGCAGCGTTGTTTCCATACAAAGCCTGCCAGCGCCAGGCAGACACCCAAACATGTCGGCTGGTGCCGCCACGAAACGAGTGTAACGTTTTACCAAAAATGGCCCATTTCTAGTTGGCAAATGTGAGTTTAGTTTGAGTTAGTTTTTTTGTAGCTCAGCTGCAAGCATTTCAGACTTATGGAGCCTTCTTGTTTTCCGTTAGTCATCCATATGTGATTGATGTTGAATGCATGAATTGATTGATATGAGCGAATCCTACGTTTCAAAGTTTTATTTTGGGTTCTACAAATAGTTACTTGTACTTTCATGGGTCTGTTGGCGTGTTCACCTTTTGTAATGCATTGGTCACAGAATTACTCGCATTCCCAACTCCACCATCACCACAGGTCGCCATCCGTGCCCATGACGCCGCCTGCTACAGGTGCGAACACATTGTACATCACAAGGGGACCAGGTGGCCTGCGGGCATACCGCCTCCGGATCGATTACGACTTCTGCGCCATTGCCGTGGCCAGGTGTCTGAGGCCCGGCTGGCACTAACCTCCATGACCATCAGCTATGCCCAGAGCGGTCACCACAGCACGTTCCGCGGGCTCATGCGCCCTTGGCTGACCCTTCACGATCGCTATGAATCACTAATGGGGCTGAAACGTCCGTTTTACGCCGGGTGGCACTTGACCTGTGACCCGATCGGTGCCGGCCGGGTCCTGTCGCCACCGATTGCTGGCCTGTATTGTCGTCGAATGTCCTTTGATTAACGCCGCCGCGGCGGGCACCATTGGCCGGCGCGCCACACGGCCGTCGCCGCCGACCAAGCGGCCCCGTCGGGCTTCCCATCCGCGCGCCCGAACACCATCATCACGGCAGCCAATGCGGGGCCGGCGGGCGCAGTTTGGTCAGGTGATCGATGCCCGGCAGCGCGTGCTGGTAGCGGGCTGTTGTGCCGAGCTGGTGGCCGGCTCGGCTCAGCCAAACGGAGCTGCTGTTCGGTCTGCGGTCGGCCGGCTTGGCCTGTGTCACTGCCAAAGCCAGAGATGCTGGCCTCCTTACTTAGGGAATTAGGGTGTGGGCGAGCGTTATCAAGATTATGCATGCGGCAGTCACGTTCCATGGTGTAAAATGAAATGATGGCGCAAGCCTTACGCCTTTGCCCGTCAGGTCTTGTGTTTTCCGCCTCTCACACTTGTTCCGGCCACTTGAGATTGCGGCGATGTGATAGCGAACAGGCTGCTTTGCTTTGCTATTTCTGTCGTCGTTGTATTTGCCACAACTTTTCCCGGGCTTTGAATGGTGCGTCGTGGCTTGCCCACGGCTATCTCGATCCTATAGATCACAAATGTTTCACGGGGAATTACGGGTTCCCGCACCACGTGGCGTGTTCTTGAGATATCTCACGATCCAATCACCGTGCTCCGTTGATTAACTGATTTCGTGGCAGTGACTAATTCAGGGGTAAAGAAAGTCGACCTTCTGCTCTGGACTGACTGATCAGAAGCCCACCTGCAGTTGCAGGGAAGTGCTCGACAACAGGGATAATCGAAACGGAAGATGCCGACGCACCCGACCCTTCATGGGCGGTTGCCACGTTCCGCCAAAGCCCCAGCGCTCAGTATCCGTGCAGCCAACTGGCGCTCAACGGCCCAAAGCCGAGAGCGTCCACAGGCCGCCCGAAAACCTTCTACCTCTGGAGACGAGCATTTGCATGCGCTGACGTCAGAGGCCTCGTTGAAATTGTGGCGAGCGCCCTCGAGCCGATCCGCATGCTTCCGCGTTCGGCTACGGTCCGACTGCAAATGCGGCGCGGTGGCGACAGCGACGACGGCAGCGACGAAATCGCTCCTTCGGGTTTGCCATTACTAAGCCTGCCGAATAATGGTCGGCGCTCGCCTTCCCGGTAGGCCATCGCCCGCGGCGGCGAGCGGCGCCGGAGGTGTCGTGCAGGAAGAGAGGCGACGGTCACGGCTGTCGGCTGTCGGCGGCGCGTGCGGCGGGGCGGTCCCGCCGGCCTGGCGTGCCCGCCCGTCCCCGCCCGGCCCCGCCAGACCGCGTCAACTGGCGACGGCCGCAAATTGAGCCGTCAACCGGGCGCCTCTCCGGTGACGGATGGCGGCTACCGCGGACGCGCCGGCGCTGGGCTGTTCGCAAGGCGAGGAGCGTGGGAGAGGAAAACAGCAAGAGAGCGCGGGAACGGCAGAAGGAGGGCAGGCGGTGGGTGGCAGCAAAGGCAGGAGGTCGTTGGATGGAGTTGGGAATGCCTGTAAGTGATTTGGGGCAAATGGCTGCGACGGTAACGAGCCCAAGTCATCCGTCGGGCTGCGATTGCGGCGGGTAATGGGGAACTCCTGGTGGCCTGCACCGAGCCCTGCGTCGCATCCGACCCGATTTGGAAACTTATCTGACGCCACGCTTGGCTGGCCCGGTCAGGACAGCGCGTCTAATCGGTGGTTTGCCGTGCCGGGTAGTCCCCGGGCTGGACGGCGGAAAGCTGACCCGTTGTCCTGGATGCCGTTCGAACACTCGGAGGTGTGCTGAAGGGCGGCAGCCGACTGATGGGGTGGAGGAGCCGCGCCACGGGCAAATCTATCACCTGCGCAGCCCTTTGGAAACGAAACCCTTTCGACACTTTCCGGTATTGGTGTTGGTATGTGCATGATCCGAATACGGAAGTCAAAGAGCAACGTGGAGCACAAATTGGACCTCCCAGCGCGTTGGGCGTGGAAGTTCTCCGTTTCTCAGCGCTTCCCGCCCACGCCGCCACAGCTCCGGTAACCGAACCCCGGCAACGGTCATAAACGGAGCAGTCTGTCTGCGCCTGTCCAACCCAGGTAGTTCCCGAACTTCACTGTCGCCTCCATGCCCCGCCCCCGGCCTGCCGCCGGACGCCTGACGCCTGCGCCGGCCCGCAGGCGCACCAGGCGGAGCTGCATTACCGCGAGTGTGTGCGCGAGGCGAACGAGCGTCATGCCACGCTGCAGAAGGTGAAGGGCGAGGTGCTGACGCAGGTGCGGGAGCTGATCCTGCAGTGCGACCAGACGATGAAGGCCGTCACTGCCAGCTACTTCCAGCTGCAGCACACCACCGCCGCTCCCATGCCCGTGCAGGTGAGGCGCCGGTCGACCGCCGATAGCCCTAGCTGGTCCGGGCTGGACCCGGGGTCCAGGCTGGACCCGGAGTCCGGGCTGGTTCCGGGGTCCGGGCTGAATCCCGGGGTCCGGGCTGGACCCGGGGTCCGGATGGGACGCGAGATCTCAGACCGGGCTTCCGGCTGGACCCAGAGTCCGGGCTGGACCCGGGGTCCGAGCTGGATCCGGGGTCCGGGCTGAACCCAGAGTCCGGGCTGGATCCGGAGTTGCGGCCGACCGCCGACGGCTCCGGGCTGGACTCGGGACGCAGTTCGTGACCGCGGGTGATGCCATGTCGGCGCGTGCTCTGAGCGACGCGCCAGCAACCTGATGTGGTGGTGGATGCGGTGATGTCCCTGGCTTTGCGTGTGATTCGGACATGTGCTTGATTCCGCTTCTCCGGATTTGATTCCGAATTCGTTCCGTGGAGTATGCGATTGACTTAGACTCTGGCTTCGAGCATCACAGCGGGATTTTGAGCTGGCTCCGTTTCCAAATCAGGGAGCTGTGGCCCAATGTGGGAGTCGATTCCGGTGACAAGTGTAGGACATGAGTATCTGCATGGCTATACAAGAGCATTGGAGGCATATCTACGATGGTAGGACTGCGATGCATGTGTGTTTCATATGCTGCACGTGCAAGCATCGTCAGAATAAAAGTAGCAGTTGTGACCTACCTTCCGATTGAAGTCGACACGTCAATAGACAATTGAACACCAACGCAAATCTGGCTGCCATCAAATTCCTTTGCAAATTATGCTTGTAAGTGTCCAGGCATAGATAGTCTGCCTGTAGCGATTTCCCAGTACTGTATGCTCGAGCGTCAGCATTAAGCAGGGGTATAGCGGCTCCCACTGATCTCAGCTGCCATATGGCCCGGTCTCAGTTCCAGACGCTGTGCGAGTCCAGTCGGCTGTACGAGCCGGGCTCGCAGTACACCGAGTTCGTGAAGCGGCTGCTGCCCGCCTCCCGGAGCCACAGGGATGTGACGGCGGCGGCGCCGGCCGCTCCCGCCGCCGCCGCCCCCGGCCCCTTCCAGTTCGAGCCGTACGGCGGCGACGAGGGCGCTCTGGGTCGCGACAAGAAGAGCAACGGCCAGCTGGTGACGGACGACGCGGCGCGGGTCTCAGGTGCGCCGGCGGGGCTCGGTCACGGGCTGGTCAGGGGCTCGGTCACGGGCTGGTCAGGGGTGGGTCACGAACCGCTCAGGGGCTGCGGTCAGGGGCGGTCCACGGACCGGCCAGGGACGGGTCACCGACCAGTCAGGGGCGAGTCACCGACCGGTCAGGGGCGGGTCACCGACCGGTCAGGGGCGAGTCACCGACAGGTCAGGGGCGTGTCACCGATCGGTCAGGGGCGGGTCACCGACCGGTCAGGGGCGGGTCACCGACCGGTCAGAGGCGGGTCACCGACCGGTTAGAGGCGGATCACAGATCGGTCAAGGCAGTTCACGGACGGTTCACGGCGGGTCACGGATCGGTCAGTGGCGCATCATTAACTGTCAGGGTGCCACTCCGCATGTGACGTGGCATAGACTTCTGAAATTCACTTAACTGATGATCACCGCGCTGTTGGACTGTAGCGGGTGCAATACCCAATCACTACCCATCCCCAGGTCACATACACCGTATTCCAGCACCACTTGTGCTGAGCCCCTACCCCTCCCCCCCCCCCCCCCCCAGGGGATTCGCACGGTCAGCCTTCCTCAGTGCGTCAGGAGCCGTCTGAACATGCCGCCGTCTGTCCGACAGACACGGGCGGCAGCACGAACAAGCTGGCCAAGCCGTGGGCGGCGGCGGTGCAGGCCGCCTCCGACACGGACAGCGTTGACAGCAGCAACAAGTCGGTGGACACGTCGCCGACGGCCAGCCCGGTGGCGGCGGAGCGCCGGCTGACCGCCAGCAGCGGCGACGAGCTCGAGACGGAGCAGGAGACCGGTGAGGAGACCGGTGAGAGGGATCGATGAAAGGGCTGGGTAGAAGGGGATGGTGACTAGGCAGGAGACCGTTGAGGAGACCGGTGGAGGGGTTGGGTAGGGGAGAGGGAGAGAGGTCTGGAGACCAGTGAGAGGGGTCGGTGAGAGGGCTGGGTGGGAGATGGAGACCCGGGAAATGACTGGTTGGGAAGAGGGAGAGACCGGTGAGGAGGATGGTGAGACGGGCCGGGCGGATGGGGATTGAGACCGGGTAGGAGACCGACGAGGAGACCAGCGAAAGTGGCCGGAGGGAAGGGATGGATATCGAGCAGGAGATCGACGAGAAGGCTGGGAGATGGCAAGGGGTGGAAGTTTCAGATCAGTAGAAACGTTGATAAGTGAATGAAAGCACTGGACTGAAAGCTGGAAAATGAGCCGGTCTGGGACAAAAGGACGAGAAACAATAAAGATGGACAAACAGATAACAGACGAAGTAGACGGAAGGACAACGGGGGATCTGGAAATGGATCAAAAGGCCTCTGGCGAGAGGGGGAAGGTCGAGGACGCCCACGGCTAAAGCGAGACTGAGATCAAAGACGGAGGTCCGCTGAGCCGCCGTTGTACCACTGGCTCAGATGTCATTACCGGAGGCTTTGTCTGACCGCCGGCCGGCCTGTCCGCCGTCAGTGCACCGCCTGACTCGCCCCCCCCCCCCCCTCCCAGCAGATGGTTATGTCACGCGGCGGGCGATGAGCAAGGCGGCCGTCACCCACCACTTCCGCAAGCTGATCGCGCCATCACGCTGCAGGGAGTGCGACTCCTACGTCTACTTCCAGGGCCTGGAGTGCACCGAGGTCAGTAGAGGTCACTCAAGGCTGCTACGAGCGCGCTGGAGATGCTGCTGAGCGCTGGGGACGCGTGAACCCGGCTCTGGGTGTTAAATTCGGCGGGTTATGGAGAAACGTGGCCGGTGATGCGAACTGCTCTGCGAAAGAAACGGACAGTGGGTGGTAAAACCTGCCGACTTGGTGGATAGGGTCGGCGACAAAAATGCGTATATTCACGCGAAGCTTGGCGCCAAAAATGTCTTTAGACAGCAAATTTTGATGACGACCAAGACAAAAAAACGGGGGACACTATGCAAAACATAAGGCGAGGTCTCCATACATATATGTTACGCCCCCATGATAAAAATTCCGTCACACAACACAAGCAGACTTTTCTGCAAAACCTCTGAGGTACTCCACGGCACCTTGGTATCTTTTCTAGGTTTCATTCCAGCCCGGCGACAAAAATATCCCATGATTTTTAGGTGGTCGGCCGACTCGGTGACGGGTCAGCGACAAATCCGTGTATTTCCAATGGCCCGGCCGGCCGGCCGATTCGCTGTTTTTAACAGCGGACTCTCAGTGCCCCAAACTAGACAGTATAAAGTACTGAAAAAGGTCTAGATATGTGGATTCATCTGGCCGCAAGGGCGTGTTTCAATTGTTGCGATGCGGCTGACACGAGGAGGTGGGCGGTAACATTCAATGCAGTCCAACTTTGCAAGTGGCATTCGCGTTGCGGTGTCATGAATACCTGCGTAGGGCTTAATTTCTGGTCTTGCTTACTTCATGGGCTGTACCGTGATTTAGCACGCTGTCCTCAGCGACGAGAGGCATTGGCAGTTCAGGGTAAGTCGGCGGGATGATCCGATCAAGGTAGAAATTGACCTGTAGTTATCCGAACCTTCTTTTCAAGACACCGAAAACGCTGTTGACTCACTGAAGAAGTCCTAAGCGACCAGCCATCTTCCCTTTCAAAGACCCGTGGATTTGATATCGAAGCCTGGTGGCACTCCTCATGAAGAAGAATAACAGGAGGTGATAACAGTTCCGAAATACCGATTTATGCCATTTTTGCGCTTGTCCTGATTGAGAATAGTTACCAGCCACATATCCAAGCTAAGAAAGGTAAAGCCCCTCCAAAAACCAAGCAAACAGTGAACTGTCTTTAGCGAGATATCGTGATTGGTAAGAAGTCTCCTGTTGTTAACTGACCCCACGAGACCAAGCCGAAGGTAAAATTTTCCTGAAAACCAAACACCAGCTTTGCATGTTTAAATATTCAAAACCATGCCATGAAGTCACATGGAACATAAAAAGATGTGCCCCTTGTTTAATTATGAGTACAACGGCATGTAGTTTTATCTGTTTGGAGCCTATATTTATAATGTGGGGTTTCGTTCATGTAACGGTGTCCACCCTCCATGCGTGGTCCGCAGAATCGCCGCTTGCCCCCGTCGCACCCGCCGGCCTGGAATTTCTTGCAATGTCGCAAAAACATCGCTTTTCTGAAACCAGACTTGCTAGGAGCACTTTTTCTGTCAACGCGCGTAAAATGAATGGCCCAGAGGCTACCAAAAATCTGAGCGGGACTGCACAATATGCTGCAATGGCATCCTCAGCAAACCGCAGGGTTGGGGAAGGGGCTGGGGGTCGCATCGCCCACCCTCCCCCTCCTGTCAGGGCGAGTAACTTGCTCAGAAAGAGCTATCCGCCTGACACGAAGTTATTGACAAATTTTGATAGTTATTGGGGCACGGCGAGAGGCGCCTACCGGTCAAAACATTTCGCACCAGGCTTGGAGCATGTCTAAGGTGTGATGAATAGTTTAATGACGTATAAGATGGGGCTCGAAACGCAAACATGATTTTAATAGGGGGTATGGCCTCATGGATGCCCCATATTTGACGTCATTCCCTGTGCCGTTTGCCACTGGTTCGGAATCTGCTATGCATTCTGCTGCCCTGGCTATCAAAGTCCTTCGCTGTTTTTTGTTGTTTTTTTGCGGTCGAGGAAAGCAAATCCAGCCGTAGATCCGAGTTTAAACATGAGGCCCCGGCAAGTCCCGAGGTAGAAGAAAACTCCTGTTGTGATTGGGCTATCTCATTACTTTAGGACAGATGCGTCTGCTTTCCTAGCAGCGGCACTCATCCTGACATTTGTTCAAGGGCAGTGTATGACTGAACATTTCGGTTATGTGCATGACAGTGAAAATTGCAGTGATGAAAGAGACTTTCGATAATAGGCTGATGACGCCACTGGGCATGGAATTAATGACCAGTTTGTCATCTGTATCGCATCACGCTACTGGCGAAAATTTTTCCTCCAAAAATTTTGTCGGCGACAAAAGTCCAGTAGTAGTACGGAGCGTGCTGCTCTCGAGGGTTTTTTGAATTGCGAATGATTGCACAGCGTGCACAGCGTGCTTATATCCGCAACTACACTCTCAGTGATTTACCGCGGGTAAAATTACGCTGTATCGCGCTGATTTAAAGTTGTTGAACCCGACTCGGCGATAAGCAGCGTAACATAGTAGTGAGTCATACGATCAGCTTCCCTGCAAAAGCACAGGATACCGTTTGGACCGGCCTTGGATAGTACGTTCGAGCCGCGGCCCGTCGAAGGGCGGGTTGTTGCCACGGTTCTCCTACGTGTCGCGCGTCACGCCCCGAGACGGAGCGTGTCATCGCCGACCCGTTTTTGCGCGCGTCGCCCGACGAGACGTGCCTGGACTGACGGCGCGTGACCCATGCGTGTCGCCAGTGCGGCCTCACCAGCCACAAGAAGTGTGTGGAGACGTTGGCCATCCAGTGCGGCCACAAGCGGCTGCCGCGCAAGATGACCACCTTCGGCGTCGACCTATCGCAGCACCTGGCTGAGAGCAACTCGCCCATACCGCACCTGGTCTGCAAGTGCGTGGCCGAGATCGACCACCGGGGCTCGGCCATCAAGGTAAAGCGCGCGCCGGCGCCCACGCCGTGGCTGCCCGCCATCTCTTCGAAGGGTAACATGTCGATGTCCGGTCATTTCATCAAAGCAGATTTCAGAGCAGTTCTGTTTCACGTCGAATTAGCATATGGGATGTTATCAACTCAGACCTATCAGCATTGTGATCGTCGCAGCTCTGAAAAAATTGCATGACATCATTCCTTCTTCGCCTCGTACAAAAAAAGCAGTGCACAGCTTAAAAACGTCCCTGCATCGCACAGACGTCGGTAAGAGGCAAGAAGCGTGTCTATGCCTGACCCCGATCATCGCCGCAGGGCATCTACCGGGTGTCGGGCGTGAAATCCCGCGTTGAGAAGCTGTGCCAGGCGTTCGAGAACGGCGCCCACCTGGTCGACCTCACTGACGTGCACCCGAACGTGATCGCCAACGTACTGAAGCTGTACCTGCGCCAGCTGCCCGAGCCGCTGCTCTGCTTCCGACTCTACTCCGACTTCATCCGGTGAGTGAGGGGTTTCTCCGGGACGCCGGGGGCGCCGACCGACGGCAGCGTCTCGCCGCTCCCCGCAGGTCCGTCGTCCTCCTGGGGAGGAGGGGAGTGGACGCTTTGTATGTGTCTATTGCGGTGGCTGTGTACCGGCTTTGTCAATGCTTGGAGGTCGGAGACGAGACCTTTTGTGAGGTGCTCAAAACTGATACGCGCTGCGGCTTTTAGTATTGGTGTGAATCTAGATGTGAGTGAGTGTTTACAACCGGATACATAAGCTGTTTACGAGGCGTCTGGATTTGACGTTCTACCAAATTAGGTATGGCCTTCAAGACAAGAAGACGGTGGCATTATTTTGACCACACGTTAACAATTAAACGAAAAGTTAATAATTTATTTTTGGTCATTCTGTTTTAACTTTAACATTTGCTAAGAACGCTGCTGGCATTACTCCTAGGCCGTTGGTGAGAAGTCTATTAACAAGGCGGTTAAGCCAGTGTGGTTTAGAAGGCTATCCGGCCCCGCTATCCCGCCAATTTGGTATATTCACCAGCGGTGTTAACTACGCTTGCAAGCTTTAAAAATTAATATATGTATATTCAGCTTCTGGCAGTCGGCGTCCAATCAGGGTCGGCCGGATTGCCAACATCACGGAAGTCGTCTGGGGGGCGCCTCGTGACAATGGAGCCCCCGGGGACGCCCGTTTCCTGGCTGGCCGACGACGGCTGCCGGTGGCTGCCGCTGGCGGCCGCGCGAGCAACGTCCACTAATGGACTCCAGGCCACTCAGAGACGGGGAGGGGGCTTCGACCACTTGGCAGCCTCTCAAAAGCCAAGCTGGTCCGAGTTCAGTGGGACTGGGACCGTTGTTAAGGGGGTTCAGTGGGACTGGGGCCGTTGTTAAAGGGGGTTCGGTGGGACTGGGGCCGTTGTTAAAGGGGATGGTGGAGGTACTACGCCAGTAGCCGCCGTTTAGAGGTGGGGCATGTCGCTAGTGTTGTTAACTAGACGCATCAATGCATTGCGGTTTGATCAGAATTGGTTAAAACTAGCGCGCTGAAGATGCTGCGACTCCTCAAAACGATTATCGTCGGTGAGCATTTCCCTATTGAAACAATGAATGTATAAGGATCAGACTTGTGTTCGACTTAAAAAAAGTTGAGCCTGCTCAGGACCGGTTCACAAATGAGGTCCGTTTCAGCTCATAACTCATAGCCGTTCCAATTTTTTGCTTCAGATCAGTTCATACGCATCGCTTGCGTGGAATCATTTGGCTCATGACTCACATGGCTTGCAAAATCAAAGATCCGATTCAGTTCTGGCTCGTTGCCTTGTTATTTGTGAGCCATATGACACACACACACACACACACACACACACACACACACACACACACACACACACACACACACATATATATATATATATATATATATATATATATATATATATATATATATATATATATATATAGTATAAGGTATATATAGAACGTGGGTAGCCTTTGTTAGTTGTGAGGGAGCAGTGTCCGGACTGTGCAACGGGTTTGGCTGACGTTCTCGCAGACAGTATATTTGTATGCATATATATATATATATATATATATATATATATATATATATATATATACGTGGGAGCACCCTCCCCCGACACGGATACATGTTTCAGCCCCTGCCTGGGCCGCGTCGAGCGGCGGCTGACGGTGCGTCCCGTGCCGGCAGGATCGCCAAGGAGCACCCCTCCAACGAGGTGGACCTGGCGACGGCGATCCGTCAGTTGCAGGCGCTGTCGAAGCGCCTGCCGCGGCCGCACTTCGTGACGCTGGCCTTTCTCATGCACCACCTGCACCGGGTCAGCCGGGGCGCGGCGCACAACAACATGCCGCCCTCCAACCTGGGCATCGTGTTCGGCCCGACCCTGCTGCGCACGTCCGAGGGCAGCGCCTCGCTCAGCTCGCTGGTGGACACGGTCAGTGGCGCTCAGCTTGCTGGTGAACACGAGTCGGTGACGCTCAGCTCAATTGGTGCTCAGCTAAAAAAAAAATGGAGCAACAAATTCGAACCTATCGTTCCGACAATTCGGAAAACTCACGAGGTTGTTCGCGTTTACTCATTTGCTTTCCCATCCCACTAAAGCTACCATCAACCGGTTTTCAGACCCTTCCTACCTTGAAATGGAAACCCCTCAAGCGCCTGAAGGGGAAACAGCTTTCAGTTTTCAGAAACAGGGAAACAGTTTTCTCATCTGCCCTTGGTTGGGCCACATAGTCCGCCGCACCTGGGCGCTGCTAACGCGCCGCTGTCGTATTATTGATGCCCCACGCTTCTATGCTGCCAATAACGCTTTATGATTTATGACTTCGTTAGTGATGACTCCATGGAGCCGCTGCCGTCATGCCTATAGCCCTAAACCTAAACTGGATGAAATATGCTGCTGCTAATGGCACGGCACCGTTGAGCGTTGGTGCCGCTAATGATGGCGATGTGGGCACGCTGTCGCTGATAATTCAGGCGACACCGCCGGGGAAATTCTCCCAGCACTGTCGGCGCACTGTTGCGACGCGCGTGGTGCTGGCTACAGGTGCACCAGACGCGCGTGATTGAGCTGCTGGTGAGCCACGTGCACGACATCTTCGGCCCGGTGGAGCTGGTGACGCCGGCCGACTTTCCGCACCAGTACCGCACATCGACACGCCGCTCGACCAGCCGCCTCCAGGACCGGCGCAGCCGCGAGGAGGCGCCTCCTCTGCCAGGTGAGCTCTCCCCCGCCCAGCCGCATGGCTGTTCCTGGAGGCGGGCTGGGTGGTTGGGTCGGAAAGAGGCGGAGCGGAGCGCCTATGGGAGGCACGGCCGCGTTTTACCAGGCGCTGTTGAGATGCTTGTAGGCGGATCACGCAGTCCTCCCCATCAGCGGCCTCCTCCCGGTGTATCTAGGCGCGGGCTGGCGTAGATTCCTCCCGCACCGATGTTCCGCCCTTCAGAGAATATCGCCAAGATCCAGCGCGGCCGGGCTGAGCTACATGCTAATGTCATGTTGGCGGCTGTTGGCGGTGTCGGTCAGCAGGTCTGTCGACTCATCGGTCATGTGATCACCACCGGTGGCGATTTCGTTCAGTGAGTCAGCAGCGCCGTCGGTGACATGAGCGCCAGCACGTGCCCGGCGCTCGCCGCCGCTGGAGCCTGCCGGCCGTGACTGCACGAGCGTGACGGTCTGCTGGCGCCCCAGGGGCGTTCGTAATCCGGAGACTGGGCCTGCTCTAAACCGAATCACGACGCCGTCGGGCCGCCGGATTGTCTGGAGACACTGGGCGATGTTTGGTCGGCGCGGCCCGGCGGCGGTACCCGCCGCCGGCACCGTGCTGAAGGTCACGGCTAAAGGTCACCACGCTCCCCGCTGTGGCGTTCCGTTCACCTGTCAGTAATGCGGTAGTACTCGGAGGTCAGTGTTGGGGACGCCTCCGAGTGTTGATGCTCTGAGGTGAGGCCTGCATACAGCACACAAGGAACTGGCGTCAAAAGGTCAAAGCCGTTGCCCGACCACGAAGTGTGGCGTAAGCCCGGAGGGACCAGTGACCTCAGGACCGTGTTGAAATAGACCACTATGGGGTCAGCACCACAACTATGCCATGCTGTGCTAAGAATGGCAAATGCTGCTGCAAATGCTGCTATGCTGAGGCTGTGCTGGTTGTCAAGGGCTGGTCTTCTGTGTGGGAGAAAGTCTATGCTATTTAGCAATAGGCGAAGCATCATATTATGCTGCTGCACTACCGCCGACACAACAGCTCCAGCTGCGATCCTGCGGTGTTTCAGATGCCGCCGAATTAAGGTTGGACTTTTCAGGTCTCGGGCTGCTTTAACTCGCTAATTTTTTGGTCACGCATTTCGTTGTTTAGTGAGTATTGCCGTCAGGGACGCTGGTTAACGCCTGCTGACATCAGAACTCCTCCCCCCCCCCCCCCCCCTCTCGGCAGCGTCGGTTGGACCCTGAGCGAAAACCGATCACTTAGTAAACAGTTGGTAGACCTTCCACCACGAGCCTAAGACCAAATTGATGCGGCTTTCCGCTCCCCTTGAGTTTTACTATGTTCAAGCCCCCTGAATGTTTATCCGATCATTGCATGCTCCTCCGCTGTGCTCTTGACACAGTGCATAGTGCCGCTGCAGATAAGCTACGGAAATTGTGCTTGTCTGTCCGGCGCTACGCCTGCGCTGTCATACAGCCTACATTGCAACAGGCCGGGATACAGCTGCACTCTGAGCCGTGCATCATTGTCATCGCCGCCATTCCCGCGGTGTTACAGAAGAGCTACTGGCTCAGGCAGCGGGAGAGACGAGCCCGAACGGTGAGCCTGCCGTCGGGGCCGGCGGCGGCGGCGGCAGCGGCGGCGGCAGGCCGCGCAGCCTCATCTACCGAGGCTCGCTGCGCGACTACATGGGCCTCGAGTGCGCCAGCGTGTCGTCCGTGTCGTCCAGCATCGAGAAGAGCGCTGCCGACGGGCGGCTCACCTCGCAGGAGAGCGACGAGCTCGAGGCGGCCGGCACCGCCGACGAGAAGCCGCCCATCGTCAAGGTCTGCCTCAAGAGCTACATCGGCCTCGAGTCGGTACGCACATAGATGTCAAACACAGCGGGATTGTGGGGAGAATGAAGTGTGTGAAGTGACTTGAGGAAGATATATTAGGTTGCATCAACGCTTTTTATTATTTACAGGAAAATTTGAACGTCTCAAAACATTTCACAAAATAAGTCTTCGTGAGAGCGGTTATCCCAACAAACCAACGATGCTCATGTGCTACGAACAAACTTTCTGTTATGGAGTGAACACCGCAAGACTAATGCCAGAACTGAGCATTGCCTGTCGTTAAATCATCGACCTTGCTACTTAGTGTCAAAAACGGAACGTCTCCTGAAATGCGTTTCAATTCTCGGCGTGTGCTGAGGTCGTGGTGGGATCAAATTAATCGATCATTCGATCAAAGTAGCAAATACTGCTTAACGTTCCTGGTATCGTCCACACTTCGCCCTGGTCGGCAAGGTCATGCGCGGGCACTGTGCTGACCGTCCCCCGCTGCAGTTCCAGAGCCAGAGCTCGCCGAGCCTGCTGGCACCACCAGACATGGGCTCGGCACACCCCAAGCTGCGCAAGTCCATCTCGGACAACAGCGCCGGCTCCCTGTCGCCGGTGGACGGCGGCGTGTACATGGGCGGCGAGTCGGGCGCCGCGGCACCGGCGGCGTCGGCGCGGCGCCGGCCGCCGCCGTCGGCCCAGTCGCTGCCGGAGCGCGAGCCGAGCCGGCCGCGGCCGCACCGGCTGCTGGGCCGCAGCTCGGGCGAGCTGGTGCGCACCGAGCGCGTCAGCAGTCTGGATGCGCCGCCCGACGAGCCGGCCGCGCCGGCCGCGCCCGCGCCCAAACTGGCCGGTAGGTGACAATGGCTGCACCGCTAGCGGCGCGCCGGCGACGCACCGGCGGCGCAGCGGCACGCATGCGAGGTGGCGGCAGGCACTAACTGCACGCGCGGCACGGCGGCGGTGGCAGCGACTAACTGGGCCCAGCTGGAGGTGGCATGGAACGACGGCGGCGGTCGGGGGAGGCCGGAGGACGGGAGGACCGACAGCGGAGGCTGACATCAACGACGGTACGCCGGGGCAGTGCAGCACTAACTCACGTACTGTGTGGCCGTCGGCGGGTGAGAAGTGTATCTGAGCATGACATTGCACCACGATACGGCACCTGCCGGCCAGCTGGAGGACCTGGTGGTCACCATGTCGCGGTGTCTGCGGTATCAACCGTCGGTTAACCCGCCGGTTCCTGACGGTGTGCCGTATTTCAGGCGAGTACGTGTCTCCCTACCTCGCGGGCGTAAGTGCGCGCGTGAAGCATCCCAGCTGCGGGGTTCGCCCCAGCCGTACAGCCAGCCAGACCCCCGCCGGCTCCGGCGACCAGGCCTCGCGGCAGGCTGCGCCGCCGTCAGGATCCGCAGATGACGCCACCGATGGACCGGCAGGCGGTGCCACCGTCGGGCGCGGCGCCGCAGTCCGCGCAGGCGGCGGTGCAGGACGCTGGGCAGCGGGCGGCGCCGGTGCCGGACCCGCTGGGCGCATCCGCGGCGCCGCCGGCTCAGACAGTGCCTGCGCCGCGGGAGACGGACGCCCCCGGCGCGACTTCGGTCCCGTCCGGAGCGGCGCGGCCGGACGCCGAGCCGCAGCCGCCGACCGCGCACCCGGACAGTGCCGGCGAGCGGCGGCCCGCGTGCGTGGAAGCATCTCATTCGGACGACGCGGGTGCCTCCGAGAGGCAGGAGCAGTTCGTGTAGCGTGTTCCGGCCGGCGCGCCCCGACCGCGTAATCGACTAACTAGCGCGTTACTTTTGTACTTGACCGCCGTTCGTGCTCGCTCTAGTCACTGCGCTCGTGGCGGGGGCGGCGGACGGCTGCGCGTCGACCACCGGCACCGGGCCGGGCAGACGCGCCTGCTGCCGACGCCACGTGGCGCGGAAAACGCGGCCATCTCGCGGCCGCGACGCTGGAGCGCACCGGTTAGCCGCGGCAGAGAAGGCGCTTCTCTTTAGGCGGCGTCGCTCGCCTTTCAGCGCCGACGAAGTGAAACGTGGGTCTGTACAAAGGCCTTTATTACGCTGGAGCGGGCGTTACAGTGGTATGTTTTGTATTTCTCTGCGATATTGCCGGAGCTCAAGCTAAATTGCACCTCTTTGTGTCTGTTCGACGTTTCTTGTGATAATTATCGTCTGACCGTGTTTTCATTGTATATGTAGATACGTCTAAACAGCTAACGGAAGGACTATATCCGCATCAAACGCTTTATGGTGTTCTTGGAGATCGGTGTATCGTAAAGTTAATCATTGTTCGAATTTGAATAAAATGTTCCAGTTTTACGACTTCGCGGACAGTAGGTACAAACAACGCAGCGAACCACCAAACACACCACTGGAACCCCTACAGAACAGAACAGAACAAGCTTGACTGAAAACGATACAAAAAGCAGCTCTCGGCTATCACAATAGGCGAACGAACCCACGACACCAATCATGCGCACCACCACCGCGGTGGCTCAGCTTGGTCAGATCCCTGCTAACCCGGTCCAGCCAGTCTGCGCGGCTGGCCCTACTCCCGGCCGGACGCCTCCGGGCCCGCGGCCGTAGCAGACACTGGGGCGGCGTCAGGAGAGTCAGTGGCGGCGGCGGGCACCGGGCTCACGGAGTCGTGGGCCGCCCCGCCCAACACCGGGACGTCAGAGGCCGCTCCGGCCGAGTCCGTGACGTCAGGACCTGCTTCGGACGAGACTGCGACTTTGTCGCCGTCAGTCGCTGCCACGACTTTGACCGCGGTGTCGGCCGACCCCGCCTCTCCAGCCGCAGCGCCTGAAGCTGCAGCCCCGTCTTCGGCCTCGGCGCCGGGGCGCGCCAGAGCCGCCACCGTCTCGTCGGCGCCCGCTGGCGGCCGGGCCGCGGCGCCGGGCCCGCCCGGCCCGGGCGCCCTCCACGGCCCCCGGGTCGGCGGCGGGCGACGCACGTAGTCTGTGCGCTGCAGGAGGTAGGCGTAGCCGGCCAGGCCGCCGATGTTGACGTACGGCGAGGCTCGGCATCGCCACAACTGCTTGATGCGCTGGTGGTACAGCGTCTGCCGGACGGAGCAGGGTCATGTCCGGCTACACCAACCTTCAGTTCGCAGCCTTGGGTTCCGAGTGCACAATGAATGCGGCACCTAACAAGCTTCGTATGAAACTAACGACACGTGGCAAGCGCGTGGGGCGTACAGAGTCGAGGGCAAACAAAAGTAACGGAAACGTTCACAGGAACAGCGAATTGAGCCGAGTGATGTTGAATGTTCGCACAATTACGTCGGGTTACGGCCAATATATTTTTGAACGCAACAATGGGCACTCTGTTAAATATGACGTCAGTGCGCGCCACGAACTCAGCCGTTCGAACTTCAATATCTGTAGGCCACTCATCGCTACGTAAGTCGATTACAATGACGTCAACCGCCGCAGCCAAAAATGTGGTGCACCTTCTGCATGGTGTTCTTGTCCTGCGTCAGCAGCACGGCCCGGCCGTAGCGCGGCACGCAGATGCGCGCCATCTCCTCCATACAGTTGGGGTACAGCGTCCGGTTGTCGTACTTCGAACCCATCCGTTTCCCAAACGGCTGGCGGTATTCATCACGTCATTAATGGCACGCGGCGCTGCCGTGCTATCCAACATCAACAGCCTTCGAAGATCTTCAAACATCAGACATAACCCGCAAATATGTCTCTGAATACTATCTCCTCCACACAGTTCACACCGCTCCGCCTCTAACACAATACTGGAGCATGATCTACCAAGACCAGATGACTATTTCAAACCCTACAGCAGGGCACACCCCACCAAAAAACCAGGAAACGTTCCATGGCCCGTCCAAACTGACCGGTGGACTACACCGGCGTCACCGGCGTTATGGTGATCTTCCTGACGCTCCATAGACGCTGCGTAACATATCGAACGCTCCGCTACAACTAGATTCCCGAAGCTACAACTAGATTCCCACTGCGCCAGCAGTTGGCATTCAGTCAGAAGAACACGCCAGCTGAGTCCGTCAGCTGTGCCCGGCGCCGGCCAGCTCAGCGGCACGCAGTAGCCGCCCATAACCCCACTGACCATGTCCGAGACGATGACGTCAGCGCAGGCGTTGCGCAGCGGCAGCCGGGTGCAGTCCCAGGTGAAGATGTCGATTGGCAGCTGGGCCGAGTCGCTGCACTGGCGGCTGCTGAACTCGCGGTTCAGCGCCGCCCGTCCGGCCGCGTCCGGGTAGTTGTCGCCGCAGATGTGGAACGTGCCCGGGAAAGCCTGGGCGCCCTGGCGACGCCCGGTCAGGCCGCTGAGTGACCGGGTCACCCAACATGGCGCACAGATAACTCCACGGACTGTATGTCAATTCAAGGAACGCGACGGCTGCTTCTGAGCGGTTATTTTAGGGTCATCGACTGCAAATGATCATACAGCTTTTTCAGGTTACGATTTCAATGTGGGAGCTTTATTCGCAAGCATGACGTGCAATAGTGGGTGTTTCATTCGGACTAGACACAGCAAAGCCGTGTCCCGTTTTACGCCACGCAGACAGTTCAACGCAAAACAAAAAGCATGTCTTAAACGTCGATAGCCTCCGATAGTACCCACAACTAAAGCCAACCTTCACCCCGCGAGAGATGCTCAAGGACGTCGCATCACAAAATGTGCGGAGAAGCGATGGGTTTGAGCCCCACATACCGCCTGTCACGTAGTTCGTATTGCTGGCAACCTCACACACCAACAGCATCGATAGCTTAGACGAACAAAGTGACACCGCTAACCCTGTTTGAAAACCGCGAAGAATTCCCGCGGCTCGCGAGCACGCCACCTAAATGGCGTCGCACCTGTTACCTTGCAAACGGCATTTCACCACAGCCAGCCAGAAGAAAAAACAACGAATGCGAAACACACACCGGCAGTCCTTCCCACACCCCTTCGCACAGGCCTGCAGAATAGTTCCGGCGCCCCGGCGCTCGGCCGCAGCGACTGACCTCCAGTGAGATGGAGCCTCCGCCGCAGAGTGGGTCCACCACCACCTCGTACGGCTGTGGCTTGGCGATCATCAGCAGGTTGAAGCAGACGGTGGAGCGGAGCGAGGTGGGTCCCAGCTTCACCAGGTTGCGGTAGAACAGGGCGCGCGGTGTCAGCGACACGCCCACACTCACCATGTCTGCCGAAGGGAGGGACGCCCGGTCACGCGCTGAGGTCAGCCGAGGTCATACGGTCAAGTAGAGCTGGCGATGCGCCCCTGTGCGCACCGACGATCCAGCTGGCTGTTACCGTAGAGGGAGAGCAGGCAGCCGGCAAGGGATGCTTCCGTCCGGAACCCGTGGTGCGATGTCACCACAACTGTGACCTACAATCCGAGACCTCGCAGGCTACGATACAGACGGGGCTGAAAACTAGACAAGGGAGCTTCGCTGAAGCTCGATGGTTCCCTGACCATAATGCAGAGTGTGTGGGTAGCACATCAAACCAATTTGAAAAGGGAAAAGTACAAACCAATGAAGAAAAACATACGCAAAAACACCTGGTCACATGCGGCCAGCAAATGTGTACGTCAGCCGACGTATGTGAAACCAATCACATAACGCATCGTGTATGCGCGGCTAAAACATGATTCCACAGAAACCTGTTTAACTTCCGACACGGCTTACCCTAAGCCCTCCGGATATCACAAACACGACAAACGTGCCAGCACATCTCATCACACGCGGGCCTCGCACAATTCCCTACAGCTGAAAACGCCAATTGAACTCACCAAACTCCACGTCCAGGACAACCTCCAAGTCGTAGCCCTTCATGCTGACCTTCCAGCCGAACAGGTCCTGGACGGCGCCGCCGAAGTTCTCGGCGCCCTCGTTGGAGGAGAAGGCGTGTCCCTGCTTCCCGCCGCCAGCTCGGAAGCAGGTGGCACGGAAGGCGGGCACGGTGACGGCGCCGGTCGCTTGCTCTGCCGCAGGCTCCTGGGCGGCCCCGGCCGCCGACACTGACGGCTCCTGAGCTGAGCCAGGAGCGGTGGCAGGCGCCGCGTCAGGCGTAGCGTCGGGGACGGGGTTGGTGGCCGGGTCTTCGGTACTCTCGGCGGGCGGGTCCAGAGTCTTGTCGGGCGCCACATGCTGCACCGCTTCTTGCATGTTCTGTGCTTCGCCCGGCACCGTCCTCTGTATCTTCTCCTCAGCCACGCCTTGCGCCTCGACGGAGGCAGGCTTCTCAGCAGCGTCTGAGGTCGTTCCTCTGACCGCGTCGCCCTTGCCCGCGGGCTCCATCTCCGACGCTTCAGTGGCGCCCTCCACAGCTTCCGCCGCCGCGGCGCCAGCGTCACTGGACGCGGCTTCATTGGCCTCAACAGCTACCTCCACTATCTCTCCGCCCGCCGCCCCTGCATTGCCACCTCCCTCCACCTCTGCGTGCTTTGACTCCGGTTCCATCGCCGCGTCTCCTCCGGCGGCCCCACGCCCCGGGTCGCCTTCCACCGCCTCCCCGCCCTCCGTCACCTTGGTGGCGACGACGGGCGCGCGCATGCCGTCGAGCAGGTCGCGGGCGGAGGCGCGGCCGTCACCGGCGGCGCCGGCCGGCTCGGCCGCCAGCTCGATCACCTCCAGCTGGTGGTCAGGCCGCCGCGTGAACGGGTCGCCGGCGAATCCACCGCAGCTCTGCCACACCGTCAGCGCCTTGGTCCAGTCGAGCGTGCGCGGCAGCAGGCGCAGCTTCTTCAGGCAGACCACCTGCAGGGAGGTGGCCAGACCAATACACTCAGAGGCTGCCCGCGCCTGAGCGGCCTCCGCCGGCAGGCTCGCTGCGGCCACGCGGAGCTGGTATGTTACGGCCGCCATTCGACCAGACTGAGCAAATCCAGTTCATAATAATAACATTTTTCTCAACATCACGTGAAACACGAGCTTCCAGTGATCAGTGTAGTGCCTGCACTGCGTTAAACATCAATATGAAAAATAAGCAAACAGACCTTTTAGAAAAGCACCACTTATTATGTTAGGGGTGGCAAGAATGATCACACCAAGTGCCACCAGACTTCAGAGGCATTAGGTAGGCATATTTGTCAATATGGGCCAAGTGGGTTAAAAGCAAAGATGACAGCTGTGGGCGGAAAAATGGCGATGACGATGGTGATATGAAATAACCTTATTTAGATCACCTTCCATTACATGTTCTTACCTTATTCTTGGTGAATCCAAACTGTGGTTGAACAGCAACCAGAACATTGATGTGGTCCAAAGATCTCAGCTTTAATACCTGAAATGAGCATTAAGTAGCTAATAGGCATGCACCACTGCTAAATGACAGCAACATATGGACTACTTGCAAATAACTGCATTCATAAAGCAATCCTATTGATAGACTTGATTGATTGATATTGATATTGCTATTTCTGGAGACAACCTGAGTGGCAGTACCTCTGTGAATGGTGAAAAACAAGACCAAACACATCAATGACTGCTGCTCTCTAAGTCAGAAAGTGAGACACATAAGAACATATGGGTAGTACCAGAATCATGATACAACAGAAGGGAAGCTGAGTCAGCATGCTTGTGACAGAACATCATGGGAGGGCTTTCAGCAAGTGCTATGTAACAATTTTGGATGCCAGTAATAGCAGAAATTAAAAGAATGAATCAAAACAAATGCTGGCAATGCACCACCAGCACATGTTAATAGTCTGTATCAGTGCATCCTGGCTTTGGTGTGTAATATTTGAAAAATGACCCAAGCCATTTCACAGCAGCTTGCCAAATCTTCATCACTGATAAGGAGGATGCCTAGAATTCATAGTTTTCTTATCACCTGCAGCTGCTTCACAAGAAGCACACTTTGTATGCATGTGTCACTGCCATGCTAAGGGAAGGCTGATAATTACAAAAATGGGAAAGATGTATACTTAAGTTCAAAACATGTCTGATCTTTAACTTGCAGTTCCCTGCAGCAAGTAAAAAACACCAATGTTGGTTTTGTCAGAAGGGCAAAGAAAGGTGCTGTCTAAGATTGATTCACTCCATGCAATGCTTGCCATAATGCTAAGTGTCAAAAACCATATTGGTGCACACTTGCTGCAGTTTCCACCTATTTCTGCTGTCCCTGGAAACCATTGTGTGCTGGAGGAAGGTGAGGTATGGCTTGGCATTATGCAGTTTTTAGGAGGGCTCAATGCTAGACCATTACAAAGTGTCACAAAATGGAGCAGGGAGGAAGAATTCACCATAAATGTGGCATATGCTTTACAGATGGTGCAATACTATGATTAAGGAATACAGGTAGTCTCACATAAGAATTTGGTTCCATGTGTCTTACCGCTGATAGTTGGTCCTTCTTGACATCAAAGAAGACTCTGCCACGAGCACAAAATGCAACACTCTTTAGCTTGGCTGCAATTTCATCCCTAGCACTCGGTTCCAATCCTGTAGTGACAGAACCTTTCAAAGTGCATATTTCTGAGTTGCCAGGGTCAAGCCCCTTTAGCATGTGCCATGGGATGTTATATTGGACAGCCATGCTTTATTACGCCACTGCAATCTCTGAAGCCTCTGACCAGCAGATGAAGATCACTGAAAGGGAGAGAAACATCAAGAACCAGTGCACATATGCACAACTTCGCTTCTGCAAAGGCCACATTGGACAAGCATGACAAACAGCACAAACACCTCCAATGATTGTAAGAGCTCCATAGAGAAAAAGACAAATGGGTGGTCAACCCGGAGAAGAGCAGCCTGGAACCTTTGCATTTTAATGTTTTTTCTACTGGAACTGAATCCAACTTGCTCTTAACACTAAACAGGCTAGCAGAAGTTCTTTCTGCGAGTTGACAATATACAGAATACGTACACAGCACAAATTTTCATTGGAGCCTGAGGAATATGTAATTTTCTGTGAACGATATGTGATACAACAATATCAAATATGATGCAAAAAACATGCGAATCATACCAGTGCCCCAACAGTAACCGTTCAAGCCACGCCGTCGTCACCCCATCCCTCTACACGTGTTTGCACGATTCGGTCGATTGGCGTGACGTCAACATATTGCGCCCTGCGTTCTTCAGAGGTACAACTTCATGTTCCTTTAAAACACTCCCTTCAATGGAAACTAAACTTTTTGTGCTGTTATATGCACCTTAAGCCTGCAATTCTCAACTTCAGCGCTTTGTTTTGCTGTAAGACCCATCATTTTTCATACCGGGCTTAGTAGCGAATTAGCGAACCGCCAAGAGAGATTGCAGCACTTTAAAGTGGTTCTTGCCGGCAATTCCATCGGTTACCATGGACGACGGGGTGACGCCAAGGCAAACTATTACATGGCCTTGAGGCAAACGCAAGGACGTTTGGGAGCTGGATAATGGGTTCACCTTCTATTTGTAATTGAAGACATCCAAGGCAATGCCATTAAGAATCGTCAATCATTTCATGGTGGCGAACGCTGTTTTGTATTATGCAGCGTGTTGTAGGTATAGAACTACATTTGTCTCGGAAAGAAGCAAAAGTGGTGTAAATTTGTGGAGTGGGCGGGGAGGGCCGGAGGGTCAGGCGTAATTATGCTTCGTTCCTTTCCATGCATTGTCATAGAGTTTATGTTGAACGTGTCCGAAGTTGGAGGGGGAGGGAGGCCGCCCCTCTCATCTGCTGCGCGCGCAAGGACTGCTGATGCCCTGGCTCCTGGTTGGCAGTTTGTATTTAGGGAAGAACGGCCATTAACGTTTGGGAATTATGCATTTTCCATAATTTCTCTGTGTTGCATACCATGGGATGTTAAATGGCACCAACTTAAGCACCAGCGGCGCAGGCAGATGGGAGGGTACTGGGTGCACGAGCCTCCCGCCCTTAAGTTCAGAGGCCTGGAGGGCCCACCGGGGCTGACTATCAAGGACACTATTATTCTGGGCACGGCTTGTTGGGGCCCAGCCCCCGACCAATGCAAGAGGCCATCTGTGGACCATGAGGCCACGTTAGGGCTGCGCGGCGGCCGGAGCCGCTAATGCGATCTCTGGCCCTGATAGTCTGTGCATAGGGGCCAGAAGGGCCCTTTGGGACCTAGCGGCCTCCTGTGCCCAAGAGGCACACTGAGCTACTGGCCCTGAGCATAGGCGTAGGAACGTTTCGAAAAGTGTGTGGGGGGGGGGGGGGGCCAGCTCAGGGCGTAGATCAGGAACTTTTTCTGGAAAACAAACCCGATGACCGCGGGGGGAGGGTAGAGGTGGTGGTTATCGCTGTTTATTTAAATGTAATGACTGCTATTTTACGCAAGCATCTAGAGCTATTTCTCAATCGTGCACACTCTTGCCTATGTGAATCATCTATGTCATTCGGGAAATAAGGCCATCCAGCTTCCCGAGGTTATTCGTCCATTTCAACGTTGTCTTTCCTGGGGAGCCGAAATTTCACGAGCGGGTGTGCATTTTGGGACATTAAGGAGGCATCTTTCTCCACAGGGTAGATGCCAAAATATGGCGTAAGCATAGGCTGGTGAAAATCTTGAAAGTGAATCAATAGCTCACAGTGCAACAGATTTTGCATGCGCCTTCATTTCGCTGGCTGCATTTCAAGAAATGAGACTTGTCGTGGCATTTTAGGCGGAAACAATTTCGGAAGTTTGAAACTGCCAAAAACCATGTGACAAAAGCCATTGCACTGAAGATTCTTCTCTGAAAACCAAGCCACAGAATGAAAGAATGAAGGCCCTTCTGTCATATATTCCTTGTCTGAGCCCTGTTCCGTCCGACGTCGGTGGCCACTGTCCCGGCCGGGCTGTCTCCGAATGACTGACCGTGAACTGATGGTATGGCTGCTTTGTTGCACATTTCTGGGTCAGCATTGCTACTAAATGGGATGTAAAACATGCGTCGGACACCTGCAAAAGTACCTTTTTTCCGAGTTATCCTCCCTTGCATCACACTACACCAGAAAATGCCGCCAGTAAGCTGCCTACTTTAGGTACGAATTGGCCCAACGGACATTTAATTGCCCGTCATTCAACGTAGATAACTTGATCTGCTTTTGTGTGTAGGCAAGGGGTAGCCAGAGTCTTGCTAAGAGGAACACAGGGTTGACAAGATGGTGACCCCCCCCCCCCCCACAAAAATATCCCCAGGTATAGTTTACTTGTTAACAAGGGATACGGTTTTCTCCGTTTCATTGCTTTTTTTTACGTTGCAACCAAAACAGAAATCAGGAGCTACTGTGAAGTCGATTCTGTCCACATTTTTATCACGCGCCCGGGTGGTCGGCTAGATACCCTTCGCTCGGGTTGGGGATCAACTTGACCCCCTGAGATCTCGGGAGCTAAAAGAGCTAGAGACACCAAATCCACAGGGTGCGTTGGACTTGTACGTGAACTCACTTAGGTCAAAGCTTGAGGTTCCTATGTCATGATTTGCAGGTCAAATAAGGTCAAACAAGGTCAAGTTCCAGGCAAATTCTCTTAAGTGCTCCCAGAACCTAGATAATTATTTCTTAGCAAAATTTCACACGTTTAGTTAAGGTCAGTAGCCTTGTTTGTCCTTTTGAAGGTCACGGTGACCAAAGTCATACAAGATTGCTGTGAGTTTTGCACTTGAATAAGCGAGAAAGATTACGCTAGACAGAATGTTTCTAAAAACAGAATGTTGACCTAGGTCATTTTAGATCAACGACCTATTCTGACCCCATGGACGATGCATAATGCGGGTCCTGCTATCAACAAATTCGAAATGAGATCAAGAAACTATTTCATACGGTAAGCCTTAGAGTAATAAAACAGGTTGGTTTTGACCTTGGCCTGACCTTTATACCTGACCTTAGGTCAACGTTATTTGCTCATGCAATATTTGTATTGCCTAAGAAAGCATCTCAGAGATATATGGCTTTGTCTAACACTCCATTGCTGCATCAGATTGAGCGATTCCCTAGAAGATGACTTTGCTGAAACCATGGCCTGACTTTGACCTGCCATAGGTTAGCGACCTTACAAGGTTCATCTAAATGTTTGATGCCAAACGATCTGCTATTCAATTGTTTACAGCTATAAAAACATGGAGCGGCTGCGCCGCGCCGTTCGGAACCCATTCTGGAAAAACCTTCGGGGGGGAATCAGTTTGACTCCCCCACCCGAGCGCGTGTGAACGTCAATGAACTGCGGAAATCAGGCGTTTAGTGACCGTATGGAATAAATCACCGGTGTCCTTAATTTTCAATGGCTTAGTAGGCTCTTTCTAAACCGATAGAATTCAGAAGGTTTTTGATAATGTTTTATCTGTGTTCCACAGACGTCGAGGGCATCGCGAAGGTAGATTGTAGATCGATGTGTTTCATCTAAATTTGAGGGTGAAAATTGTGTTTGTGGATCGAGTGGTCAGCATGTGTATTAACATCGTCGAGCCATGGTTGTCTGGAAATATTCAAAATTCCGTCGGAATCGATTAGCGATACGATTTATATAGCGTGGTTTTTAACATGCGCGCTCGCAAATCTTAGCAACAAAAACCTCGACACCAGGCGTTGCAGTCTCCATAGGCAGGGCAGCTTTGGCTCTGGCTTAGTGGTTAACTTTTCGCCATGGTCCATCGGCAAACGAAAATGATAACGGCTCAGAAATAATTGCCTTTAATAACTTGAATCGATTAGTAATAAAAGTTAGGTGACATAATTCGGAGCATGTGTACTCGCAAATCTTAGTAAAAACCGGGGCTCCAGGCGTTGCAGTCTCCGTAGGCCGCGCAGCGTTGGTTTAACAGCTAATACTGAGCCGTGGCCAACGGGTGGACAAAAATGATGACGCCCTTGAAAGAGATACCTTTGAACGCCTCAAGACATCAAATCTTGCATCTACAAGGCAGTCTGACTGCATATTTCATGTGTGCGATTTTTAGACTAATGATAAGACTGGATGGGCCCTTAAAGCACCGCGAAGTGGTGCCGGAACCTGGTGATGGAACTGGAAGAGCAGAGGTGGATTCTCAATTTTTCGTGTTTCTGTAACTATTGATTTGTCCAGAAGACAGACTAACACAGCACCCGGCGTCTGATGGCACTTGCAGTGGCCGAAGCCGTTCGGTTTTACGGAAACTGCAACCCAGACCATCGCTGTCCTTGCTCTTAAGGTTGCGTGGGCATGTTCAAACTTTTTATGCACTTTTTCACCAATCCATTCTGGAAAAGTGAGCGTTCTTAGGCGGACAAAGGATGCATTGGCGTAGGAACAGGAGGGCCAAGGGCCCCCCCCCCCCCACACTTTTCAAAGTGGAAGACCATGAATGTTAACTCCCCCCCCCCCTTCCCCCACTTTTCAGATTAAGGTTGCATTTGGCTTACTCTTGTACCACATTAAACATTCATGCCGGTTGACCTAGTTCGCCAACCATAGCCTTTAAGATGCGTTATCTTTTTCGTTTCGCTCATTGGCCATCGATTAGTGTTATAGCCGCAAGGCCAACGCCGCACGGCCCTGGAGACTGCAACGCCGGGTATCGCGGCTGTTATGACTTGCGAGCGCGCATGTTCAAGACCGTAGTGCGTAGTTTTCTTATCAGTAATCAGTTCTGACAGAACTTGAGCATTTTAAGACGAACATGGGTTAGTCATGTTAATACAATAGTAGAAACCCCGATTTCATTTACAATCTACGGTCAGGGAGAACTTCACATCTCTGAAGAACACAGAAAAACACGGAACTTTAGTCTATGTGACAATTATTGGGCACCCTGCGGTGATCAGGGATGTTGCTGTCTCAGTGAGGCTTTCTGTGCTGATCCCGGGCTAACTGCGCGGGTCAGAAGGCCTCCCGTGTCAGGGGTGGGAACAATGTGGTATGATTATCCTTCTAATGGACTCCGGACTCGACTGAGGGATCCCGCTCCATGTCGACCAGAATGATAGCCGGAAGATACTTTGCGATGGGATGGAATGGCCCTTCAGCCCTTGACCGGAGGCGGTAGCGTACCCCTGG